AAATGGACACCTCGGTTGTACAAAGTATCCCCCCATTACACCCTAACACATTATTTGAAAATTATTTGAAATGGATAATGTCTTATTTGGAAATAAAAGTCTTTGTTCCAGAGCTAAGCAATGGTGTGTGCGGGTTTGAGCTGTGAGAGAGACAGGAAACATCCTCCAACGTAGGGTAGAGTTTCTATGTTTGTGCTTGTTAGAGGTAAAAGGAAAGGACAGTGGGAGAGAGACAAAGGAATAAAAAAAAGGAGAGGAAGGAGGGAGAGGAAAGTGAGAGAGCGAAATAGGCCGAAAGGAAGGAAGGCAGGGGTGAAAGGCAGAGAGACAGACAGAAGGGGAGGAAGGAAGAGAGAGACAGATGAAAACTAGAGAGAGAGAGAGAAGAGGAAAGAGGTCCCCCATGGGGCTTAGAGCTATGGTTTGTGCTGATTAACCGTGTGTGTGTGTGTCTGTGTCTGTGTGTGTGTGTGTGTGTGTCATAAAGGAGTGAGAATATGGGGGAAGTCAAATAGTTAGAATATCCTCAGAAGTGACTGGCCTCCTCACTGTGCTTTCTAAATGCCAAAACTATAATTAAAAGTACACCAGCGATTCAGTATTGCACTTCCATAAAGTTTGGGAACCACAAAACCAGCTTTAGTCTCATTAAGCATCAGAAAATAATGACTTACCTCTGTATTATCTGTTAGATCTTCAAATTCATAGCAGTATAATCAACCAACCTCAAATAATTAATTGAAATTAGTTATTTTTCTATTCTTCCTGAACCACACTGATAAATACATCGTTGTTGGCTGACAGTACACACACACAAACACAGTTGGGGCAACTTCATTTTTTCAGCTCTTTTCAGAACAGAATGCGTTTTCACTGAGCTCTTAGCAGCATTATACTCAATATAATGTCAAAGCAGTCCAGCCCTTTTGACCCTCTAGTGTCAGCCACTGAAGGCTCCATGTGAATGGAGTGGGAAGAAATGGGTTGTTTCTCTAGCAAACACACACACACACACACACACACACACACACACACACACACACACACACACACACACACACACACACACACGGCCTATAAATAGCACCATTCCTACATGTAGTTTGGTGAGGATAGCTGATCAGTAATGCTGTCCACCCAAGCACAAAGTACACATATGTAACTAACAGACTGTAGAGAACAGATAGAAAGACACATAAGGGGGAGATGGGAGAAAGACAGTATTACACAGAGAGTGGGGTGAGACAGAGATAGAGTTACACAGAGAGACGCGTGAGACAGAAAGTTGGAGACTAGCAAAGAGATACAGTAAAAGTGTTTCTCTCATTTGTCCCCTTGCTGTCTGCATTATAAATGTCTTTCTTGTGTCTAATTAGCATATGTATGGATATATTATAGTAACCTTTTCACTGACACAATATTTGTTGTGTTCCCTCATTGTGCCACTGTATGTACGTGTGTGTGTGTGTGTGTGTGTGTGTGTGTGTGTGTGTGTGTGTCAGAGAGAAGCGACAGAAATGGAGAAGACATTTGTATCTGTCTGGATTTATTTTTGTTTGATTCCTAGCTCTTCACGCTGTCATAATGTGTGTGTGCACGGACCTGTGTGTGTATGTATGTGTGTGTGTGTGTGTGTGTGTGTGTGTGATTTATTGGACTTCAGTGTCAAAAAGTGCACAAGCTTTCTCCAATTAATTTTCTGGTGTGGAGTGGAGAGCCCTTTGAGAGAGTGTGTGTGTGTGTTTTTGTGTGTGTGTGTGTGTGTGTGTGTGTGTGTGTGTGTGTGTGTGTGTGTGTGTGCGAGTGTGCGTGTCCGTGCTGCATATTGTTAATAAGTAGCTGAGTTGAGAGTAGAACATTTCACATTTGTAAGTTGTGGTGGCAGCACAGCCAGCAGACACCATCGAGCCTGAAGGGACAGGAAGGCCATTTCCTTATTTATCACAGTCAGGCCAGTGGCTGCGAGTATGCCACAATTCTTTGCAATTACGGAGACAATGTCCTCTGCTTGGGGACAGAATCAAGGCCAGAATGAATCGGGGTCAGTGAGCCTGACACAGTACATCTTACATCCAATATAAAAGCGTAATATATATGAGAAGAATATCAGCTAGGTTGTTATCTGACAAGGCGTCTCTCTCACGGCTGCTGGTTCGCCAACATTTTCAATAAACTTTATTGTGAGGCATGTCATAGCACTCCACTGGTTTTATGACGTTTTCTACCCTTTATTTCTGGGGCTAAAACATTTACACGCATGCTAATTCAGGATTAGGCTTGTTTTTTCTAAACAAAATACACCATACAAACCCATTTATGTGGTCCCAAAGTTTCCATATGTCTTGTGTCCACCTAGGCCTAGGCAATGACACAATGTCTGCAATAGACACTTGAAAATTGTTTAATTGAATAGCGATAGTTTCACTTAAATGCATTAAATGCAAACCACCATGAAAGCACTTGACGAATACACCCTGGCTCATAAACTGCCTATCACGTCCCCTGATAATGGAGTGTGCAATGAGTGAATCACCACCCTTTGGAGAACACAGCATGTTCTCAGTCACAGCCCACATCAGTTACATCTAAAGAAGCAATCCACAGGCAGTCAATGACAGAGAGGTGCTCTGCAACAATGCTGTATGACAAAACATTAACATGATTACCTGTGTGACTAAATAAAGAGGTTCAGTTCAATCTTTCTTTCCACTTAGTCTTTCTTCGAAATAGTTCATGAAAAAGTAACAGTAATTATCAACATCGACTGAAATGAAACATTTTATCACGTTACATTTTTTAGCTATATGGCCCAGCCCTCATTCTACATATTGCAGGGTTTCCTGCGGTGTTCTGCGTTCAGCGTTCTCTCAGAATGTGAGAAGGAAACGAGCAGTGGCGTTTTTTTTTAAACCATCATATAGTAACTACATTGATTACTTATCTAAGTTAAGTAGTGTAAGCTCGCCGACTAAATTGCAGCAGTGTACGGATGATTAGCATGAGCTGCGTTGGCTGGTATAGTTTTATGAAGAAAATTAGCTTCATCTAAGTAGCTGACTTAAGAGGCTGGTGCTCAGTGTGTTTTAGTTAGTTTTAGTTAACCACATAGCGCTCCCGAATGTTACAAACACACAAACTCCGGTCATACATGGACACACCCAGCTCATTATTATATAAGCATCAGAAAAAAATGAAATATGATGAGGAAAATGGAAAATATTTTGGGAAAATAGGGTCTGAATAAATGATTGCATGTGCCAAGACAAAAAATAGGAAAGGGAAGGAGTTAGAATGAAATACTTGTAAATCCCATCTTGCAAACTACCTTCCAATGTCGTCAGTAACCTGGTGGACAGGTTAGCAACAGAAATACGTTGGAGAAGCCTAACACAGTTTCCATTAACAGTGAATGGTAGTGTTAGTAACTGATTTAATGGAAGTTTAAAAAAAAAGTTAAGCAGCTCGGCGACAGTAGCTTATCCTTACACTGCAACCATCCATCTAGGTGATGACTGATGTGCTTAAACTGCTGAGTTTGATTCTTGGAAAGTCCTGAAGACTTCTCTGATGTGGAAATACTGGATTTATACGCACATGTTTCAACACCCTGCTGTCCTCTATGGCCTACTATATCACAGAGAAATTGGTCCTGAGGGTAATATTTTCTTGGTAAGGGATAGAGAGTGTTTCTAAGATTTTACTGCAGAGAAAACAGGCAAATATTAAAAATCTAGTGTTTATTTTCAAGCCCTCCATAAATCTTTGTCTCAGTTTTGCTTTGATTCTCTTTGTCTCTCTCTGTCTGTACCTGAATATTAGCTGACTGATTGAGTATAGTGGGATTTGTCATGCCCTCTGGTCTATTTCATACCCACACACACACATGCTCCGAGCCCTGCCATACATCACAGCTTAAAGGCTTATAGAGTCGCTACTCTAGTATCTTGTCAGCTTTCTGACTCATGACAAGGTTTTCAATTTTCCCCTTTTCACCCGACTGCACTTTACAGCTCTGGTTCTCTCTCCCTTTCTCTCTCTCATCTTGCATCCTGTCTTGTTCTTTCTCACTTTGCCTCTCATGAGAAAATGAAATTATGTAGTAGACATAGCTGTGTCCAGTATTGAAAACGATATCACCGTCCAAGTATTCGCTCAAAAGAGGTGCTGTAATATGCGTTTGTGTTACTGCAATGACTGGACTCACATTACAGTTGTCGGGCTGTGATTTTAACGTCAACACTTATCGGACCAAGTTGGACCAAATGTGTCACAGTCCGGGCCACCGGTGTTCAGTGTTTTGGAATTATTATCTGTTCCATTTTGATCTGCCTTTTTGTTGTCGCGCCCGTGGTTACATGAATTTGAATCTACAAAGAATATTGTCATGAGCCTCCCAGTGTGTGATGATTCACCTTTGTTCTATCACTAAATTAGTCCTGCTTTCATCAATACCCCAGGAAGGTAATATTGTTCTATGCACAAACCAGTCCTTGTTCAGTGATCATTTCAAACATGTAAATATGATAGATTTTTATGTCCGGAGTCAGGAAGAGGAACATATTTTTGTGTAAGGCCGTTCATCCAAGCTTCAGTGCAGAACCACAGGTCCCTCTGCAGAGTTTAGTCCCCAATGTCACCCAAGTCTGGGTCTTTATCTCTGTTTTTTCTTCACCGTCTTGCATAAAAAATGCAGTCAAAAAACACAAGACCAAATGCTAAAGATAGACAATTTCCGTTTTGGTACAGTCGGTACAGTTTGGTACAATGTGAGAACTTGTGTTCTTGTGGGATTTTGGGGGTGTTGCTTTAAAACACAATTGTAGTCTTTATTACACACTACATAACTATGTTGTTCTATGTATATCTACTATGTTGATATACTGCACACTTTTTCTAAATGTTGAGACTTTAATATCTGGGTGGTGAAACACATTTTTATATGTTGAGTGTTTAGCCTTTTTAATCTTTTGTGATGTTTTTTCTTCATGTTATTTCTCCAGGGTCGCCATGTCAAGACAGGCCAACTGGCAGCTATCAAAGTCATGGAAGTCACAGAGGTAAAAGTGCACCACATTTAAATACACTCACTCTTTTTATCTCTATCTCTACCCTCCGTTTCGTCCTTCCTATTCTCTCCTCCTCATCTTAGGTGAATTTGAATATTATTATTAATTATAAGTGTAGCTGATGTGAAAGTTGCCAGAGCTATCAGATAAACGTGCTGTCAGTGTGAATTACACATGACATACCTTTTGTATGCACATGATCCACACATGAGAATAGCACAGCAAGCTGACCTGGTTGTATTCCGTGTAGGTGGGTAGTTACACAGATCCTTGTACATGGGCATTTCCCATGGGCTTTAAACATGTACTGGATCATTTAAAATAGACGCAGTCTCTGTGACATAACCCATAGGTTTCCGTTGGGAAACTCAGCGTGGTGGCTGTGACCATCGCTATCTTGGTGGTCCTGACTCTGCTGGCTCACGGCTAATCTAAAAATGGGCAAAGACATGGAGCGTGGGTGGAGTTGTTACTGAAACCAGCCCCCTGTGACAGTACCCACCTGTCACTCTAAGCAACCATTAGGCCTTAATTAGGCATAACTTTGAGTCTTAAACGGGTGACTTATACAAAAATTCACCACCCTACAGTTGTCATGAATGGGGAATTTGTACCAGGCTGTAAGTTGGGCATTTTTATATGGGGCCTTAGGGAGATTGACTCACTTCTGTAGCCAGCCTCAAGTGGCCTTCAAGGAACTGCAGTTTGTGTTACTTCTGGTTCATTTGCCAGCCACAGAGTGTTTGCTACTCTGCTTTAAGGCTCATACAGGGCCCATCAGTGGGTCCTCAAAATGTCTGAAAAATGGTCTGAATTTAATGTGTAACAATTGGCTTTGATTTTATACCGATTTTACACAAAGTTCAGTTTACTCAGCATGAGGCGTATAACCCAGCCTGTGAAAATAGTTGTATAATGTCTGATAACCCCGTTGATTCTGGAATACTCCTTTTAAATTGCATTTTTGTTTCTGGTATATATCTGCCCTTAGTCTGGATTGACTGTGCAGAAAATATAAGCACCCAAATAGCAACAAATTGTACTTTACACTTGCTGGTCTCATGAAGGTGCTGTCATTTTGCATTTACCACATATCGTTCGTTAGCTATATATTTGATGTAGAATACAGATATCTCAAATGCCCTCGCTGATGTCATTTGGTTTTATAAGTTAGAATGGTTTGAGAAGATTTAAGTAGCAAGTCCTCTGAATGATTATCACATATTAGGCCAGACACAAATTAATTTCCAGTATTTGTAAAAACTCTTTCACAAGACAGTAATTATGTTTTTGTTGGTCTGCTGGCTCAATACTGAAATACTGCAGTATTCAAGCACTCAGCGTTTCAATTTAAAACTTTCGAATGAAGACAGCAGGAGAAACTGTTGCCAGCATCCAGAGAAACAAAGAGAGGGAAATCAATAGAGACATAAAATATCAGATGAAAAGGGAAGGAGAGATTCTGACAGTGTTGCAGGGCTGTCATGATCGGCACAAGAATGAGTCATAATTAGTCAGTTAGTTTTAAGGCACCAAGCTTACAGACTAATGTGATAGGCTACCTTCCTCTCTAGTTCTCTTTCTCTTATGTTCCAGCGTTCTTTCTTTCTTTCAAGTGACATTATCCCTAAAAAAGACAGAACACAAGAAATCATTTGGAGGTATTTCCTTTAAACAATTTGCCCTAGAAACAAATGAAACAATATCGCAGCATTTGCAGATGTTTGCGCTTGTGAAGATAAAACCCGTTATTGGACTAAATGAGTTGTTTGTGCAGTTTGTCCCTCTTTTGTCTTTTCCAAATTCAATTCTCTCTCCCCTCATGCAGGTAATTGAAGCGATGGAACTTTTACAATCCATCAGACAACCCCTCCTAACTCCCTCCCCAAAGCATAGTTGCACAAAGAGGATCAAACAAAAATCTGCTTTAATATACTTCTAGCCTGACAAAATTAAATTACATGAAATAGTTGCTTCTTTCTTACAGTTTTCTGAGTCTCACCAATATTCCTCTTTTGACCCAGAAGTAGTTTTTTATTAGATTCCAGGTGATCTTCCTCGATATTAAAGTTCTGTTCACTTTAGAGTCTTAAAGCCACAATCTCGGATCGTTTTGGTGAAATAACATATTAATAAAACTCACACTATAAATCAATTTGTGGCTGAAAAAATCTCTCTGAAGCTATATTTAGACTTTGAGTGGCAGGCTTAGCCTTACAGTTATATATGGATTACAGATTACACCTTTATTTTGGGGAGGGAGTCTATTTGTTCTGTGGGTTCTGCCTTGTGGTCTTACAGTTGTAGGGGGGAACAAACAAGAGAGGTGTGGTGGTTTTATTGAATACTGTGTGTGGTTTACAGATGTAGCAGAATTGGGTTAAATGTGCGCTAATCATAGCATGTTGTGGCAGTTTGTAAAGGCATGCTGGCCATAAGGTAGCAAAGCAGTGTTTGATCTAGCTCTAGAAACTAATGTGTCTCTTTGAAGCTCTCTCACAGAGGAATATGCAACAGATTCAGTAAATTCTAGTCAATTAGATGATTACTCCACTAATTAATGAGCATAAATATTCATCGGCATCTCAAGTTATTTTTAGGCACACTATCAGCATCGCTCTAGGAAAGGCAATATTGCCAATATTTCCCACAAACTATTTGATGAATGACATTTTGTACCGAAATGAGCGGTTCTCAGAGGATGCACCCTGCTGACTTTGGTGATCCCCTGACATTTCTTCTAGCACTAGGCAGGTTCAAGTTTTGTTGATCCAGTGAAATATGTCAACATCTACTAAAATGATGGGCAAAAACTTTAGTACAGACATTCATGGTTCCAAAACAAAAAACCTAATGACCTTTGTGATCCCCTGACTTTTCCATTTGGCTCAAAAGATTCCAATTTGTGACTCAAAAGCCATTGGATGGATTGCTGTGTCATTTTGTGCAGACATTCATGTTCCCCTTCAGGGTGAATCATAGTATTCCCACCATAGAATCAAGTTGTCTTTGATTTATGATCAAATACTTGCAAAATCAATGACATTCCACCAACCTCAGCTGTCCTCTAGCTAATCAGCATACATTGGCATGCTGACATGGTCAATTTTTTATCCTGCTAAACATGAGCACGTTAGCATTGTCATTATGAGCATGTTATCTTTTTTGATGTTCACATTTGACTCAAAGCTCTGCTAAGTATAGCCTCCTAATGTTTTAGCAAATAATGCCAAACATTACCCTGCTTCTCTGTTGGTAGGATTTCCTGCTTTTGTTTCATGTGATAGGAAACACAATATCTTCGGGTTTTGGACTGTTCTCGGTCTCTTTAAGCTTTAGGAAATTGTGATGTTCATTTTAAACAAATTTCTTCCCTTTTAAAATGAGAAAATAGTTTAGTAGTAGTGTCAGAAAACATGTATTACAAACTGGTCAGACTACTTCTTTCCACTTTATACTTTGTCACAAATCAGCTTGATTTGTGGACATAACTGGGCACACTGGTTTCTTTCTTGTTGATGGGACTTGTGGGTCTGGGTCTTCTTTGTTGCAGGCAACCTCTTTAGCAGGAAATGCTTGGCTATTATCTCCCTTCTCACATACACACACACACACACACACACACACACACACACACACACACACAATCACAGAGAGAAAGAGAGGGAGAAAGGGGGAGAAAGGGAGAGAGATTGCAGACACAGGCAAGGAGGCTTTGTGTTTCAGATCGAGGTGAAAGTTCAAACTCTGCCTTGTCATTTTCTCCCCTCCTGTCCTGTGGAGATTTAAAGGAGGTCACTGACTGGGAGAAGCTCTCCGTTGTTTCCTCTTTTCTGATTAACAGCCACATCCAGCTTCTCCAGCTCCACTCTCCCTCCTCCACCTCTCTTCCAGTCCAGTGTAAATTTAGGGGTTCAGTGAATTGGAGAAGTCACAAGTCATTTCCGGGATTTATAGCGAGAAAACAAAAACCGCCGCACTCCGTCTCTTCTACTCTCTCTTTCTGTCCTTGTGTCTCATAACACTGACCAACCTTGGTTGTTTTGTTGAGAAAAAGCAATAGTTGAATTAAGGTCCAAACGCTGGGTGAAAGGGCATGAAGAGGTTACACGACGGTCTGATTGGACATGCTATCTGTCTGGATGTGTGTTTGTGTTGGACGGAAAAGTTTTACAAAGTGCCACCCTTCAACCTTTGTAGATAAGCCTCAGCCTACAAGCAGGATTAAACATGTCATATTTCTGATGTACAGTCTAATGTAATGTTACTGTCAATACAGAAGAAAGACATTTAGTTCTACCCTGCAGAACTCTACAAAATAACTATATGGTGTTCAACACTGCTTAACATACTCTTATTGAAGCTGTTGCTGGGAAAGAGTTAAAGTGTTATCACTGTGATAACACTGATGGTTTCAACACCCAAATATGCTGTGCATGAAGTTTTAATTCTGCTGTATCTGTTTTTATGTTTAGGAGGAAGAAGAGGAGATAAAACTGGAGATCAACATGTTGAAGAGTTATTCCCACCATAGAAACATCGCTACTTATTATGGAGCTTTTATTAAGAAAGGTCCTGCTGGACAGGACCACCAACTCTGGGTTTGTAAACTACTCTATCTTCCCTTTTCTGAAATGAAGAAATGACTCATTTTTTTTTATTAAATGGCTGCTACCCTTCGGGGTTTATTCTGAAAGTATCAAATGTCATATGATGTGTATTCTTTCAAGATCATTCACGTAATAGTCACAGTTATTTTGCTTGGTACCTGTTTGCTTGTATGTGTCCATCTAGTTGGTGATGGAGTACTGTGGAGCTGGCTCTGTGACAGACTTGGTGAAGAAGACCAAGGGGAACAGTCTGAAGGAAGACTGGATAGCTTACATCTGCCGAGAGGTGCTCAGGGTAAGCACGACGTGAAAAGCACTCATACAGTCACCTCAGCATACATACACACTATACACCTGTACTTGTATAGTAGACCCTACACTGGAACTTGTTCCCACATTGCAAAATTGGTCCGGCCAAGTGATGGCCCACACAGCCCACTCTGCCCCATTCGGCCCAGATACAGCAATGAATTATGGTCCACATGTGGGCCAGATCTGGTAGCTGACCTTCTTGTGGCCCTAAGTTGGTTCCACATGTCAGACTTTTGACTAAACCTTTACCAAACCCCCATTTTGCCCAGATGAAAAATGCCTCAACAACGACAGAACAAATATTTATAGATTTTTCTCTTGTCTTCTCTTCTCTTCCAGTCCTCTCCTCTCATCTCCTTCCTCCACTCCCCTCCTCTCTTCTTCTCTTTCCCTGTCAGCACTGCATGTATATTATTGTGTAGACATATAGTTAAATCAATACATTTAGCCAGTAAATACTAGGCCTGAACACTTTTAAACCATTGCCAAAAGAACTCTCGACAGGCCCATAGGGCCAGCTATAGTCATATGGTTATCTGAGATATGGCTATGTAATGGACCATATGTAGCTACAAGATCTGCCACACATGTGGACCGTAATTTATTGCTGTATCTGGGCCAAGTGTAAGGGCCAGACTAATTTTGCTATGTGGGTTAGGTCTGGTGTCATACAGACAGCATTTCATTGTATTTTTTATCAATTTGAACTTGTCCATTGTTATTATTCTAAAAAAGTATAACCATTTGCACTTCTGTGTGTGTGACCTTACACAATGCTTGATTTGATTATTATTTGGACTCAGTATAGAGTTGTGAACTGGGTGGAGCCGCTTGCTGGTCCCAGATGTATTTTTTTTAGGTATTAATGCTAAGTTATTATATATTATTTGAACTGCATCTCCAAGAAATGTCCATCAGTTTGGTATAGTGGATGACTCTAAATACTTCAATACCCACAAACCTCAGCCACCATTGCTATGAAGAAGAATCCAGTCACAGGCGCCAATCAGAGCCGTTGTATATTCAAAACACTTTGTTTTTGCAATAGGAAACAAAACAGTGCACCATGGTGGTCAAATTTATCCAAAACAAACCAGACTCCAACACTGAAATGATTTAGGTTGCCGATGTTTGGTCAGGTTTAGACAAAGTGTAATTTTTAGCTTACACTTAACAGTAGCAGTGCAGTATAAAGTATTTTAAGCTTTGATTTGATGTTTCTTATTGAACTGCTCTCTGAAGCAACGTATCCATCCAAATGTAGTGCAAAAGAAAATGTGAATGAGTTTTTTGTGAATTAATGCATTTTTTCATCCGCTCTTAGACTCTTTTTTTCCCCATTGTTTCCACTCAAGTTTTTTTATGCTTGAAACTGTGAGTAAAAACAGCTGAATGGAAACAAACATTGAGAGTTTTAGTTTACGTCTCTCCTTAGGTACCAAATATTGCTTGTGCAGAAAATTAACCCATCATTCTCAAAATAAGAGAGTGTGTACATTGTGTAAAGGTGTACCTGCTGCACACTGAAACAGATCCCCGTTACTGTACCGACCACCATGTGACCGAGCAGTTGTACCCTCAATCTTCAAATAACTCTCAATACACACAGAGAACCCCAAGTGAACTTTGTGTCTGAGGTGTTGTTATGGTTGAGGCCCTTTTTAGTGCTGGTAAAAACAGAGGCAGTAATTTTCCTGTGGATGCAAACTAAAGGCTGAATGAGTTGCCACTGTTGTATACGAAACATGATGCTACTTTTAGCGTTGGATTCTTTGCCAAAACATCAAAGACAAAAAGACACACTGACACTGATACTTCTTTATGTTCAGGGATCAGTGTCTCCCTCATGACTCCGGGGGAATAACTGATTTATTTTTCATTGATATACTTTAAAGGCCAATTTAAACCACATGTCTGTAAGATGTTATGGTTATCATTATAAGAGATCACAAGGTCCTGAGAAAGACTCCGGGATGTTTGCACTGCTCTCCGTGTTGTTGTTTGTGGCTCTTGTAACAAACCTACACATACACAAATAGTAAACCAGATTAGTTCCAACATATCCGTCCTTGATATTGTCGTAATCAAGTGCAGAAAGAAAGTGAGATGATTTTGTAGAGTAAAAAAACTTGACAGACAAAGAGCTCTGGACTCTCGCCAGTGATTTCCCTGCTGCTGTCAGCCATGCTGTCTCCTCATTGTTTCAACACCACAGCATACACACACAAACACACACACGCAAACACACACAGACACTCAGCATAACATGGTGAAGTCATTGTCTGAAATAAGAGCAACTTCCTCTGTTTGTTTAACCTCCTTTGAAGAAGCGAGACTACAAAACACACACACACACACACACACACACACACACGTCAAACTGTGCCACGATTGGTAGTCTGTGCCACTAGGTCACTGCTACCTAAAGCAAAGTCATTTGGAATTTTCTCAGAAGGGGAAAGCTGGCAACAAGCTCTTTATTCAACATTCCTTCAAAATAAACACACAATGCTACTCTTTTAAAGGAGAGTTTACTTTGTCATATTTATAGGAATAGTGGTCATCTGACTCTGTGTATGTTTGTGTTTATGTGTATGTATATTTGTCTTCCAGGGTCTTTCCCATCTTCACTCCCATCATGTGATTCACAGAGACATTAAGGGACAAAACGTTTTGCTTACGGAGAATGCCGAAGTCAAGCTGGGTATGACACATCGACACATGCACTGTGGTTTCTGAAGCACATCTGTGTTCCTCTCGGCAAAACTGTACAACAATCACACAGTCATACATACATGCGTCCATAAATCACACAACCGCAAAGACACCTCATAAAGAAGCAAAGACTGTGGTTGTTTGGAGACGTGAAATTGTCTTATATTTTTCAGTTGACTTTGGAGTGTCGGCACAGCTGGATAAGACGATCGGACGCAGGAACACCTTCATCGGTACTCCCTATTGGATGGCTCCGGAGGTCATCGCTTGTGATGAGAATCCTAAGGCCACATATGACTACAGGGTACTTATTAACACAGAAATAGTCAGGGAACTTTAAGCACATATTTAGTCATCTTTTCTTATATATGAAGATGTTTAAAAATATACCGAAAATGAGGTTAGTTCCCAGCAGCGTGACTTCATGAATGGGAAGGGGAAGTGCGTTACACTGTTTAGACGGCTGTATTGATTAATATAGAATCATATCTGTCCCATCAGATGCACATGAGACTTAAAAAAAGAAGACAAACTGTTAGCTATATATTTGTCTCTGTTAGCCAGACCGCTGATTACAAATACCTCTTGGTTTTCCTCGACAAATCTGGTTCAGCCCTACTTCAGTAAAAAGTGTTGTGGTGGTAAAGCACCTAAAGCAAGAAGCAGAATGTATGCACTTTATCAATTTATCTAGCAGGAAAGCTAAATCAGCACAAAAGCATTGACTCATTGACCGACTATTTGCAAAATAGAAGTTTTGCTCATCTTTGCAGGCTCTCACTCATGCCACACTATCACGCTATCATCCACAGAGAGGACGGCTGATTTAAGTGTAACTTCAGCTGACATTATCTCAGAGGACAGATGCTGAATACACTACACAGACCACTTACTGACAGTTACATGTGGGAGGAACATGGAAGATTACATATCTAATTGGATTTTAAACCATCTGAAATTCTTCTTGGATGCACTTACTTGATATCTGACAGCTATCCAATATAGCCTAGATGCGTGAACTGAGTAGTGTTCATAGTGTCTAAGCCTACATCACTTTACAGTCAGCAGAAGAGTTTCCACTGGACAGAATTTCATTACAGACAGAAAATGTTTTTTGTGAATCTTTTGCGATGCTGAGCCAACTTTGTCCAAAATGTTCACCAAAAAAGGTTTCCATTCACTCTTACTGACCAGATATATGATAGTTCACAGACACATCCTCAAGTGCAGTATCAGCTAATCTAATGTTGTTCTGGAAGTAATTAGACACTGACTGTTGAAATCCAGTACATCATTGAAAATAATCCACTGATTCCTTTATTCTTTTGTGAAATGCCAGAAGATTGGCTTGACATCTTGGAAATTGTGTGTGTAATTCTTGGATCTATACTCTCGCATTGTGCACAAACTGATTTACTGTTTGAATATGAAAAGGACATCCAAAGTTTACAGGAAATGAGCAGAACTCGAACTGAGCTTTGTGTGCACACTGCTCTCAACCTTTTCCTGTCTCTATCCTTCTCAGAGTGACCTCTGGTCTTTAGGCATCACTGCTCTAGAGATGGCCGAAGGAGCCCCTCGTAAGTTACAAATACACCTACAAATACACACATTGTTGATTGATATCATTTGTCTGTACTGTCTGTGCTGTATACTTACACTCAGGATTCATTTTCCCCTTTATTTTACTGTCTCTGTCCCCATCTGTTCCTTTTTCTTTCATTCCTTTCCCTCCCTTTTCTCTCTCTCTGTCTCTCTCTGTCTCTCTTTCACTGTCACTGTGACTCTCTACGTCTTTCTACCTCTCCGGCTATCTTTGTTTCTAGCTCTGTGTGACATGCATCCAATGAGAGCCCTGTTTTTGATTCCACGAAACGCTCCACCCAAACTTAAATCAAAGAAATGGTAAGCCTGATCACACACTCACACACACACACACACACACACACACACACACACACACACACACACACACACATACTGTCTTGAGGGGTCTTTGTTGTGGGTTTCATGCACCAGACAATCAGACTGAAGATATCCTAACACTCTCTTCTCACAAAGAAACTGAAAGCTCTGGCATACTCAGCAGGCAACACGATAAAACTTACAAACTGTAATACATTTGGCCTTTATTAGAATGGACACAGAACACTAGGCGAATATGTTGTTGCTGCCATGTTTAATCTTAATCAGAGTTTTATTATTAAACCCCTCTCTCTATCTTACTCTCCTCTCTTCTTCTCCCCTCCTGTCATCCTGTCTCCTTCTCTTCCATATATAATGGATAAGCTCTTCAGCTTGAACTGGTGGTTGAACTCATGCTGTCTTTCATTCACTATTAATGTCATCAGAAACACTAGTTCATAGGGCAGCTTTTAATAGCTCCAATGGTCTGGGGTGTGCAGTGCTTTCCAGTCCTTGTACCTCAGGGCCTCCCGAAGGCGGCATACACTCCAAAAACCAAGCAGCAACGCATATTGCTCCCCTGTTCTCTTTGATTTCAGAGCACAGACAAGATGTGTCAAATTTTAGGAGCGTTTCTGTACACAGATATCGCCTGGGTAAAACTTCCAACTCAACATTTTTGACAGGATTTTGCTTGGTGATACTTTAACAAGTGATTGCTAGCTTGCATACTGTAGGTGAGTTTAAACAAAAATTTAAGAATTTGGTGGCATGCTAAGAGACAAATTAACTTGCTGGTTTTGATATGGTTCTGCTATATGTCATTGTTTGAAACTTTGTATTGTTCACTCTTTTCCTGTGATTTTGACTGCATATTGATTTACACATTATCTGAGTTTGCTCCACGTTTTTCTTTTCTGACTTTATACATTGTTAAACTGTAATATGCTTTTGACGTTAATCCTCTTTATGCAAATGTTCCCTTCATAGAGGACACATGATAGCAAACATGATAATACGTGTGCAAACTGCAGCTTAATGTTAAGGTTGTCATTGGCAGTTTCGACAAAGGAATGAATGAATTTGGATTTAAGGAATCACTCTGATATTAAGGGGCAGGACTGTGTTATGTAAAGGCTAACCGAGGGCTTGGGCTTTAATATTTATGTTTAGGTTTTTATAACATTCTCAGTCTGTTTTCATGCTAACATGTTTTCATTCCGCCCTCTTTCGTTGTCCGTCTCTTTCTGTCTTTCGCAGGTCAAAGCGGTTCTTGTCATTCGTCGATAGCTGCCTGGTCAAGAACCATCTGCAGCGACCAGCTACCGACGCCCTGCTGAGACACGCTTTCATCAGAGATCTGGCTAATGAGAGACAAGTTCGCATAATGCTCAAAGATCACCTGGATAGAACGAGGAAGAAGAGAGAGAAAGGTGAGGGGAAATGGATGCAATAGATATACCAGTAATAGAAGAGATAGATGGAAGAATGGCTGGATGGACTTAGTTTTATTCCGACCAAACCCTGAAGTGGGGCCAGATTTTTTTCTCTGGGATTTCCTGAGTTATTTTATTCAAACTTGACAGCAGCAAAACTGACTCACTCTAATCGATTCAGTTCAGTTGTTGTATTTACAGCTACAGAGTTATTCAGCTGATACACTCATGCAGGGGGACTTACAGATGATGATGATCCGGGTGAGTTCTGCCAGGGGCTGGTATCCTGATAGAGAACCTGTGCTGATATTATTGGCTACTTTTTGAGGAGACTGAAGTATGGTTTTCAATTAAACACATACAAGTAGACATACACAAAAGTGGATGCATACTTTCACAGAGACCATTTGGAATATAGACACAAACACACACACACACACACACACACACACACACACACACACACACACACACACACACACACACACACACACACACACACAGTAAAAAAAGAAAAACCCACAGTGCAGACAGAAAGCGAAAGTGCAGAAAGCCTGACCTGATTTAATTCCTAGGGTTGAGGTCATACATTAGAATTATCTGTGTGTTTGAGAGGTGATTCTTTGACAAGGGCAGTCAGTGAGTTTGATAGAAAGTTCTGACAAATACCCCACTTCAAAGAATAGATTTTGCATCATGTTTCACATATTCAATGATTTAGGTTAGTTTCAGGCCACTTGTGGTGGAGTAAGAACTTTCAACACACTTTAGCTGAGAGAGTGCACCAGCTGCACTGATGGCACAGCTGCTGCTTTGCTTAGACTATGAACAACACTGCATTTCTGCTTATTTGCTGTTAGTGGAAATGTTTAATTAGTTACCCACAGTTTACACAACTTCTTTTGCATATATTATACTTTGCTGCCATTCATTTTGCTCAAGTAAACCCACATGTTATAACACTTACTGTAAACCTTTCCGCTATCATTGTAATCACTGAAACCAAACAGAAGGTTTTAGGGAGGGAAGCACTGCAGTTTGTACACTACTGCTGGTTGGACAACACCCTAGCCAATAAAGCTTTTGAATTTGAATTTGAATTTGAACTGTACCAGCTATGCCAGATATTTTAATTGTGTTAAATATGCAGGGAAGCGAGGAAGGGCGAGAGTGAGACGGCCAGACAAAAATGAACGAGGGAGGATGTTGAGTCGGGCCAAAACGCTGTACACGGCTGACCTTTCCTTTCCTTCTCTACGGAATTCAGTTGGGACAATGTTTTACACAACAGACAGACACAGATATGAAGGAAGGAGGAGAATGAGGAGATAGTGAGAAAAGAGGGAGGGATGTAGAGACAAAGAAATGAGGAAAATTAGGAGTATGAAGAGGGGGGTGGGAGAATTTTATCCTCATCCTGTTAAAAATGAATTTCACTCTGGATGAGTTGCACGTGCCGAATATGTGATGGAAGTCAAACTGTGAGAAAAAGAGTTAGGGGAGGGGACAGAGATATTCATGACTCTGCTCCTCTTTTGTTCTCACGTTGATATTCGAGCAGTGTAAGAAATCCTTGTATTATCCATCAGGTTTATTCGTCTTCATTTGGGAAACTGACAGACAGGCGGGGTAGAGGGACGAGAGACAGGAAGAGACAGTGATAACAGCAGAGAGAAAGACAGAGAGACACAGAAACAGACCATAGAGCAAGAGCAAGAGTAGGAGAGAGAAGCTGAGAGGGGTAGAAAGGAAGAAACAGAATGTCCATCTGGTTCTAATCTTCTGTTAGCTTATAAAAACACACTGATGACTGGTGGACTTTCTGCATGCTGCATGTGTTGTGTGTGTGTGCACGTAATGTGTTTAAGACCAGATATGTGTGTGTGTGTGTGTGTGTGTGTGTGTGTGTGTGTGTGTGTGTGTGTGTGTGTGTGTGTGTGTGCCCCTGTGCCCTTCCAGAGTAATGAAATGCCGGTAGTCTGAGTGCGTGTGGGAAAAAGTCACTGTTCCGGACGTGATGCAAAAAGGATGTGTCATTTTCATCATACCCAAGAGTGTAGTTTGGACAAAGATGGTCTATGTTTTGGAAGATGAATCGCTCAAAAAAACTCGTTCAGCAAGAGTAGGCATTAACCCTCAAATTGCTCTTCTCTCCTGCAGCTTTGGCTCAGAAAGATGTGACATGAGCCAAAATGTTCAAACATGACATCACAGCAACAGAGCAGAGATCTCCTCTGTCCGTTGCAAAAGTACAATTCTCCTCCTTCCTCCTTCCTCCTACACCTGTATTGTGTTACCTTTCAGCGTGTTAATGGCAACATATGGCGTGTCAAGTAAATGTTCAAGTTAGCCCGAGCTACTTTCACACCATATGTCGGCCAAATGTTGTTATGCTAAGCTGGCTGGCCCATCTTCCTGGCCTGTGGACAATAAGCCCCCTGGAACTGTGGGGCTATGCAGGGTTTTTTTTTTTTCTGTAGTGGTCACGTGACGCCCAGAGACTCAAGAGAGAGTTTACAATTTTCCACAATTCGTGGAATTGGTCTAATATACATTTAAAAACAGCTGTACAGATACAATACTTCAGTGTGTGTGAGCTGTGGGTCGCATGGTTCTGTAGGAGGTGCATGTTAAAAGGAGAGAAAAGTTTTAGTGAATGAGTTGGGTTGGAATTTCGATGATTCAGCATTGCAGTTCTAAAGCCATGGTATAACAACTCTGGCCCATATGTCTTCCACTAAATAAGACTCTCATTTACTTTCTTGTTGCCCAAGTTTGCCCACACTATACTTTAGTGTGGCTTTGATAATGACAAAATTGCTACTGGCAGTAGATGATGAAGGGGCGAGACGGCAGGCATGGAGGAATTTTTAATGAAACAGTGGCTGGTTCAGAAAGCCAAAGACACAGTACTGTGCGCCAGAGAAGAATACCCGCAGCAGTGCAAACACATCAGAAGCCTTCCCTCCAAGCACCCAGGACCATATCTAATTTCTAACTAACACTGAACGCATAATTTTACAGTCAGGAACCTGCTAGGTTCACACTCAGACTGCTCTTATTATGGACATCAGAGTGAAGTGGGACACGTTCCACTTGGCTACTGTTACGTGTTCACATCATTAGATTCACCCTGATACAACTATTAGGGCTGCAACTAACAAATATTTTCCTTAGCAATCAATCTGGGGGTTATTTTAAAGCAGTCACAGGGAACTTTCATTTTGTGTTAAGTCTGGCGGCCCCTGTGGACATACGCTGTGTTGTTTCCACCACGTGTCCAACCATGAAGAATAACTATATAGATATAACCCATCTTCTCGCTGATGGTCTTGTCTGTTTTTGTAGGTCATTCTGTATAGAGGCATCAGTATTTAATTGAGACTGTTTCATAACCAATTAAAAACTCCTTGTAGTACATTTAACTATTATTCAATTCCTCAATTAGTCTGTAAAAATTTGGAAAATAGTGAAAAAAGGAGAAAATCCTCACATTGGAGGAGCTGTGGTCAGAGAATTGATGGTGTTTTTGTTTGAATAAATAACCTTAATAATTAATCAATAATCAAAATAGTTGCTGTTAATTTTCTTTCTTCTTGGGATTGATTAATCAGCTAATTGTTTCAACTCAACACAGCTGAGCTACCTCAATAATTTAAAAAAAGTGCCAATAAATTATTAAGTTGATCCTCGCAAGGAGATTGTTGTATTTTTGGATTTAATGACCTAATTTGAACCTTTTACTATTTTTCTTTCTTTCTTTCTTTCTTTCTTTCTTTCTTTCTTTCTTTCTTTCTCTCTCTCTCAGAGGGTCCAGAGTATGAGTACAGTGGCAGTGAAGAAGAGGAGGACGAGGTGACAGAGGAGGAAGGAGAACCCAGGTAAAAGCCATTTCACACTAGACTTGAAATAAATTAGAAATCATTTAGAATCAAAGTAGTTGCTGCAGATTTTCATATTCAGAAAGATTATTATATCAAGTATACAGTTTTTTTTAAATCCTCACTATCATCATTAGTTCATACATACATTAACACTCATGTCATAAAACGAACTCTCCCTCTGCTTAAGTGCTCCGTTCATACATACATAGCTAATGAATCACTACAGGGCATGCGTGTGTTTGTATGTCCATGGACAGATGCACTAGCCTCTCTGTTGCTGTCCCTGGACATCAGACAGCAGATGGCACTAGGAACTGAGCACTTTCTCCTAGGATGAGCTTTAATGTCTGTAACTGTGCCTATGACCACCTCACTAGTGAATTAACAGCAATTTAGCATTTCTATCTTCATCCTCAAGTGTACTTCAGTACATCACCCACACCGTTCTCCTCTCTCTTCCTCCTTCAGCTCCATAGTGAATGTTCCCGGTGAGTGGACCTTAAGACGGGAGTTTCTTCGTTTGCAGACGGAGGATCGGGACGGGGGCAGGGAGGGAGGCCACGGGGGAGGTGGGGCTCAGCAAAGACAACAGGTAGGTTTTGAGTTCCAAAAACTAAATTGAGTCCAGTGTGTGTAATTAGTGTGTCTGTGTTGTTTGGATAGTTGATACATTGTTTCAGCTATTGTTGTTGTTGTTGTTTCTAGTTTCTTAATTATGAGGATTTACAGTTTTTCTTTGTCATATGTGCCTTTAAATTGAATATCTTTGGGTTTTGGCCTGTCTTAAAAGATGTGAATGGCATTCTTTCACTTTCACTTTACTTAATCAATAATCATAATGAATAATTGTTGCTGCCCTTATTATTATTAGTAGTAGTAGTAATAGTGGTAATAGGGGCGATAGTAGTTACAGGATGTGCCCTCTGCAAAGCAAGTTTAGGTTGATTCATTTCATTAATTCGGTTTATCACACATGAAAATCATCTCAACTCAAATGGGAAAATCCTCGTATTAGATGGGAAAGTAGAGTCACTACCAAAATGTCTACCCTTGAGGCTAATCCTATTTCACACTCAGCAATTAGCCTTTTAGTCTTTTTAAAGTTTTAGGTGTAACTGCCTCATATCACATTTGGAACAGAAGGCCATTTAACCCTGGATCACTCAGAGTACCCTGGATCAAAGTCAAACGTAATTCATTTAGGGTTTTGCTAATACAATTAAGAGACAAGTTAATCCAATATATTCAACTCTTCAATCAAAGACTGTGAAATCAATCAGATCGTGAAAAGCCTACTGTGTCTTTTTCATAATTTTATTTTAACTACGATCATAATATATGTATTTATGTCTAGGCATTACAGCAGCACAGGCAGCAGCTGGCGGAGCAGGAACGATACAAGCAGCAGTTACTGGCTGACAGACAGAAAAGGATCCAACAGCAACATGAGCAACGGCAAAAGTTAGAGGATGTAAGTACTGCGTTTACACATTCCTTCTCTGTATTCACGCAGGTAGATAGCTAGATCTTTATTGTCCGAAACTATGAAAAACTGTTTAGCAGCTCTTCCAACAGTGTGAAGCATAGCTCAGTAGTTCTGCATTTATAGGTCAGTACGGAGGTTAGAGTGCTGCTGGAAATAAAACATTTCAGAGGAAGATAAGATTAGCTCAGATCCACCTTTCTGCTTTTATCAGGTCCATCTTTACAAGAAAGCGCTTCAGTTTCATCTTCAAGCTGCTGAGTCACATCCTTATTCTTCCCACCCTAACTGCTCTCACATTGCCCTCAACCATGGAAACTTAACACAGTAACCTGCAACTGTGTGTCAGTTGTAGTTTTATGGCAGGTTGTACTTAAGAATGTCAGCTAAACACATTTAAATAGAAAATATATATAATGCTAGTAAACCAAAAAAAATGTATTTACACTAAACTATTTACACTTTCCAAAGAATTGTATTGTTGTTAATGTGAATGACATCAACTGTTGTTTGTGTACGTATTGTGATTAGTGGTACTTTGTGGGTTTCCAGCAACAGAGGCGGCAGCTGACGGACTGCGCCTTTCAGTGGGCGGAGCTTCAAGAGATCTTGCTAGGGGAGGAGTCTGATCTCCATGACAACAGAATTTTTCTGGATGAGAGAAACAGGAGGACCGACAGGAGACAGGTAAAGATGAACTTCTAGTTTTGTAACTAGACTTCCCTGAGGGAAATATCTGGCTCCTTAGCTGCTAAATGCTCCGCTGTATTCACCAACTACTTTATAACTGTGTCTGTTTGCTGTTTGGTGCTGAGCAGGTAGTGTACAGTTTTATGGTTTATCATAACCTTTTAACCGAAAACAGCTGTTCGCTGCGCATGGAAGCTACACTGATGAGTGCAGTCTCACTGAACCAAAGAAACTAAAGTTGCAGGTTAAAACCAACCAGTTAAAATAATAATTCCACCCATTGTTCAAATAGAAATGTTTATTAGTGCAGCTTTAAGGTGTTACATTTCTGAAATGTATTCACAATAGTTTGATTGTGTTGCATGTACTTAACCTTGGCTTCTTAAACACCCGATACAAGCTGACATAGGAATTAAAACAGTATGTGAAGTCTGAACGTCAGGATAATCTTTGTGCCACAACTGTCCTGGCCCGTCACACCTTAGATAAAAATGCATCTCAAGTCTAGATTGCTGGGATCTAAGTTACATAATGTGTGCATTGAGTGTGTGACACACTCAGGCTGTGTGTCTGTGTATGTGTGTTAGGCTCTATGAATATTTGATGCTGCAGTGAGTTAACACATGAACTTGTTTTCCTCAGAAACTGCGAAAGCTCGAGGTTTGTTTGATGCACGCTGCTCTGATGTAGTGGTTGCACCTGTCAGCCTTTGTCACCCAGGTGATAAAAACATTCTCTCCTCAACGCGGCAGGCCAGAGGAGAGTTTTTTAAAGGCAGATCTGTAAATTTTATAATTATGAACTGTGGAGGACAAAACTTTATGGGATGGAGATGGAAAGCGACCTTTTGGACACATTCCCATCAACTTTAATCTCATCATAATACAAGAAACCGGAGACTTCTTTTCATTTTTTAATACATTTTACATCAAACAGGACCGTATGCAGGTGCTGCTTGAATCAAACCTTGAGGAATTAAATTTATATAAAAGAGGGGGTCCATATATATAAAATACATTTCACAGCACTTTCAAAAGGTTTTGTGAATTAGTTGGAGATTGAATATCTTTCAAAAATCCTTTGTTTTGCTTCTGTTCTGCAGTTTCCCGTTTGAAGAAAAATATCTTTTACCTTGTTAAAACTTAATTTATACCATCATACAAAACGGAGAGAAATGAAAAATCACCTTTTCTATGAGGAAGGGCTACAAAGCAACAGTGTCACACTGTGTCTGTGATAGTGTGCGTGTGTGTGCGTGCGTGTGGACAAGTGTCTCTGCCAATTCCAGTCATTTTAAACAAAGACACATAGCTCTTTCTACTATTTCAGATTCATTTTTTAGTCATTAATTTTAACACATGCTTAATGAATCCATCCCACACACCAGTGAGCTTCAGTAACTGTATATTAACACCAAGGAGCAGGTCTGCAACTGATTCGTTCTTCATGTAGAAGACACTGTATTCCAATGCTATTAATATCTGTCTAGTTATATTATGTGTCTATTTGGTGTGCTTATATGTGTGTGGCAGAGAGCTATCTGTACGTATTAGATTCTGATTACACAGATTGCCTCGAAGTCATTAAGTTCAGAATGCTTAATGGATCTATCTGATGCTTCATTAAGTTTTAATGCATCTGCATTTAATTATGTGACAGGTTCAGTGAGTGTGTGATGTGATGTCTTGTATTTTGTCAGATGAAGAACTTGTCTGGGTGCAGCGGTTCCAATCATTTCACACACTGATTGATTTGGCAAGCATTGCATCTTGTATTTCAGTGGTGTGTTGGTGGCTTAAAGATTAGAGAAGTGGCCAAGTGCCGGGTTTGAATCGTCACACTGCATGGGGAAAGTGAATGATCAAGGGTGCAATTACACAACTGTGTATAGTCTACCCTATCTCAATGCATGCTGGGAGATGCTCCCTCCCCATATGACACTGAACAAGATAAGTGGATATAGAAAATAGATGGTTGGTTATGTGAGTGGCAGTGTCACTAAAGCTGCTATTAGTCACAGTGCTTGAACTAGAATTTTAAAGGTGCCATCACTGTTAACGGGCACATGGTGGATAGTTCATGGTTGCTGGATGTGTTTTTGCCTGTTTTTTACTGCTTTGTTGTTACAATTGTACACATAAAACTACCACTTAGAGTGAATGTTCATAGAATGTCAAATGCAAAAATATTGTTGTTATTCTCTGCATCTTCTTTATTACAAGATGAATACTCAGATCTGGTGGCTTGTCACAGGATGGCAGTAGGTTGGTCATTCCACCTACAGTCCAGGCTGAAATATCTACAAATATATTTTTGTATTTTTGCCACCTTGAGGTTAATGTTTGTGGTTTTGAGTCTCAGTCATCCAGCTTAAACATAACCAACCAATCAGAGGCCGAGTAGGGTGGATCATGACTTTGCCACCCTGGGAAAAGAGATTTGGCGTCCCCGTCAGTAAGAATTATAATCACCTTGGTGATCGTCTGACTTTTCATCTACCACCATCATTAAGTCAAAATTTCCATTTGTCCATTACTTTCATGTTAGCAAATGTTAGCATACCAAAGCATTTTAATATTGTCATTGTGTGCATGTTAGCATTTAGCTCAAAGCATCAAATAAAAGATAAGCAATTCACAAAAATTCAATTAAAATACACGCTTTGCTACAAACATGAAATTACTGTAAATTAGTTAAATGTGCTACTTTTATAAAACATTTCCATTGAACAAGAACAAGCTTGTGCAACCAAATGAAAGCTTATAAAAATAAAACAATACCCATGACCGATTTCGCACCTGCCCCTGTGACCACATTTCCCAGAAGTGCTTGTTTGTTGCTGGCATGCAATCGGTCGTTTGTAGAACAACTGAGGTCTCTGTACTCACCCTGCAACACGTACACAAGGAAGCTGATGTCTTTGTTTAATACTAAGTTGAACTTCGACGTAAATGCTCACCTTGGATTATGGATCAAAGGACACCTACGTTTTTTATCAAATGTACAAACTTCATCATGGAAGCTTTGTCATCCAGTTAAGCTGCCCTTTAAGCTTAAGCTCTGCTCAATGTGACCCTTCAGATCCAAGCCGAATAAACACAGTCTAAAGGCAATGGTGCCACCACTGCAAATATTTAAGTCGAGTGAATTTAATTAAACATTGTTAATGTAAAAACATCCAGATTGGACTATTTACACATATGAGGATTTTCCAGGAGAAATTCAAAGGGGGTCATAATGAAATATTTAGAGTTGAGGGCGTTGGCTGAAAGCTCCCTGCCATCTTGCACACTCTGAATATTTTAGTTTCTACCTCTCAGAATTCTGCTCAAGACCTTAGTATACCCTAATTAAAGTAAGCCTCCAAGTGGGTGTGTGTGTGTGTGTAGCTGTTGCCAGCGTATTGCTATTCTTGTGAGGACTGTACACAAATACAATAATGTGGAACAAGAGGATTTTTGAGTTTGAATTAAGGTCAAATTTAGTTGTACGTAAAACTCAAAGCAATCAAAGTCATGGAACATAATTTAACCACGTGGATGTCTGTGTGTGTGTGTGTGTCTGTGTGTGTGTGTGTGTGTGTGTGTGTGTGTGTGTGTGTGTGTGTATCTTCAGCAGGAACATACAGGCAGACAGCGGAGTGCCGATGTGTCAGTAAGGCCTCTGGACTCCACTGCAGAGCAGGTAACAGACCTTCACTCTGTATTTTCACTCTGTATTTCTTTCCTTGCTTGTCATTCGTTCCTCCATTTTTCATATGAGTGCAGGCAGGTGGAACTTCTTCCAAAATATTTAGAATGTGGTCGGATTGTTAATGCCGCTGATGGTTTTGGCCAGCAACAACGCATTGCATGGGAATTTACGATGTGTTAAGTGGGTTGGTGTGTGTGCTAACTGCTAACCTTTCATTAGAACATTTTCTTTCTTTCTTTCTTTCTTTCTTTCTTGGAAGGTTTGTATCTTTTTTGTTATTACCCACTGTTTTGTTTCTTTCTTTCTCTTTGAATGATTTCTACATGTGTTCTGATGTTAGTATTTTCATGACTTTGTACTTTCCTTTTTTATCTGTTAACACTAACTTGTGTGAAAGGAATAATACAGTATAACACTAATGATGGAAACTATCTTATTTATGGTTGTGTTGTCTTCATGAGCAGGAAAAAGATGTACGAGTGATATATTGTGTATGATGTGACAATTAGTTGATAAAGCAATTACTCAGTGACTAAATTAATCAACTATTTTATTTGCTAATTAATTGTTTAGGTCATTTTTCAAGCAAATATGCCAAACTTTCTCTTATTCCATCTTCTCAGTTGTGAGAATTTGGTGTTTTTCTTTGAGTTTTTTCAGAATAGACTCAATGTGTTTGGGTTTTAGACTGTTGGTTGGACATTTTACGATATCACCCAGGGCTTTAGGACTTTGAGTTCTGCATTTTCCGGTGCTTTCTGACCTTTTATAGATCAAACGATTAATCGAAATAACCGGCAGCTTTATCGATAATGCGCTGGTTGCAACCCTAAAAAGATGTGGTGACTTTTGAAGTCGTGATGCTCCCACTTTGATGGTATGAGAAGATTTTGAACAGCTGAAGAGAGAATATGCTTTGATCCTAAGACTGAATGCAAGAGGAAGTGTTTGTGCTGGAGAGAGATGAGTTTAATGTTGTTGTCTGTGTCACTGACCCCTAGTAAGATGAAAGGAATGGAAAGAGGGAGAGTAGGTGGAGAGAAAAGCATTATAAGACTCTGCAGTAGAGCAGGGAAGATAACAAAAAGGCAAAAGCATAATAATTTGTCTCTTGAGTGTCTTCATATGTATTGAAAATAGAGGAAGACTCTGGGTGTCTGACACTCCTGCTGGAGCTGGGGAAGTTGTCATTTTGAAGTTCTCATTCAAGGAGACAGAAGTAAAAAACTGGAGTTTTTCATTCTGTGAGTGGGACTCGAGTAAGTATTCAGAGAGTCAACAGTGACACACACTGAACTCTACTAGTAGTGTCAGATATTAACAAGCTTTTAAGCCTATGCTTATCACAGCATGCCATCGTTTTGTTTTAAAGCCTTCTCTCCATCTCTGTCTCTCTTTCTCCCCTTCTGTCTCTGCTGATCCCAGCATGCCTTCTCCCTCTCTCCTTTCCTCACTTGTTTCCTCTCTTCATCCCTCCCTCCGTCATTCACAGCGTGTAACCTCTTTCATTTCTAGCATCCCTCTTTCTACTCGTCTCTCGGTTTTTCTTCCAAAATGTTACTATTTAATCTCAGTTGGGGGTTTTAGACACACAAATTCACCAAAGATTTCTCTTTTCGTATTTGCTGTCACTTCCCTATTTCTCCAACACTTAATATTCTTCTAATAACTCCCAAAGCTCTTCATCTCTCTCTTCTTGACAAATTTGAACTGCTTACATTGGTCATGCTCAGACTGCCGGCCAAAGTGACCCAGATCTTTTTTTTTTTGGTAATATGTGACTCAGATCTGATTTTTTCATGACAGTGTGAACAGCACAAATCACATGGAATCAGATTTTTTCTATTTCATATATGGTCCAAATCAGATACAGGTCTGATTTTGTGCAATATAACCTCAATGTGAACAGTCGTATCAGTATTCATGTGACTTTTAAATCACGCTAGGTTGTCATTCGTCACGTGGGTGACTTCAGTGACTTTCATCTGATATTTAATCAGATGGACATATTTTTATATTTTTGTCACCATCTTTCACTGTTTTGCATCCTTAATCAGTACAAAAGATACCAAATAGAGAAACTCAGCATTCTTATTCAAGTCACCATTGTTCAGTGGTAATTTGGATGGTTCATTGCAGATAGCTGCCATGGAGTGTTTTGTGATGTTATTGTGAAAAGAGGTCTTGTCCAAGGACTAAGAAAGCTGATGGCTAAAGTGCTGTTGTTAGTTGAACATGGGGAGATAGGTATGTCGAGTATTTTAACTCTATGTCCTCTCAAGACACAGCATGTCTGAGATAGACCGACTGATGGCACACCGTGTTCTTTCTCTCCGTTCTAGTGGTGTAGGAGGAACTATACGGCTTGTTTTTGGGCCCCTGAAAGTACCTTTGAGGGTCACTATAGCAGTATGTGTGCTTCCTGGGTGGCTTAAAGTGTCTGCAGACATGAAGCACAACCCTGCGGTTTCCACACTTCTTCCAAGAGTTGCCTCTGTTAGCCCTCTGTATAACACACTGCAATACAGTGTCATGTATTTATGTATCTTTTGTTTTCATGTGGCTAGCCTCAGTGCCAATCAGACCAGAAGCACTACTGTGCAACTTTATATTCATCTTGTTGGGCTTTTTTTAGGCCAACCTGGAGCTCAGTCATGGTGCTGATCCGCACAAACTTAAAATCCGTTTCTGACTAATGTACATAAATGCAATGTATATGAAAATTCTGTCATCCTTTTTTTAAATTCATCCTTCTGGCAATATAAAGTAGCCGTTGATTCGGTTTACAAAGAGATTTTAAGACAGCCGTAACCCTACAAAAATCTGAGTTGTGAGATTTAGATGACAGTAGTGGTTCTTTATTTGTGCTTTTATTGGATTTCCTCTGGAGAAACTTGTGCTTGCAAATCAGATTCTCAAGCCAGAGATCTAGCTGCCGTCATATGTCCAAGCTTCACTGCCAGCGCTAGACTGATTGCTATTTTATGAATGTTTTCACATGTTGGTCTACACACAGAACAAGTGAATCAAATCAGCTTCTTTTGTGTGTGCTTCTGTAAATGTGTGTCACAACAAGCTTGACGATCCAGGATATGCTTTTCGAGGTCTTCATGCAACAGCCGTGGCTTGTCTTGTCACTTTCTGCAGAACCGGGGAGTGGCCATTTTGTTGGGAACTAGCATGTACACCTGATTTGCATTAAAAATACAAATAGTATATGACTTAGTCTTCATATATAAAAGTAAAAGTATATCTAATTCATTCAGTCTACATATTCACCAGAGAACAAACCCTAAAGTATGAGTTCATATTATCGCTGGCGGTTGTTGAAATGCCCTAACAACTTATTCCTTGTGATTTCTATTTGTAATGAGTTCTCCTTCTGAGGTGAATTTGGTTATGAAACATTAGGCCAATCTGCCATTTCAAAATGACAATATTTGAGAATATTGTCATTCAACAAAACATGTAATTAGGTCTAATTAAGAGGATTCAGCTAATCTTGGCAAGAGGGGTTGAAATCAGTTGAAAATGACACTCATCGTTTTTAACAGGGTGTGTGCTGATGATTTGTTCATGTAAGCTAATATGATTGAGGTAGCAGATGAAGTAAAGAGGTCTAACATGATCTAAAGTTAAAGACTATGAATACTTCTGTGTATTAATACAGTTATTAGATGCCTTATTATATGCACTTACATCTAAATCAAGGTTCACTCTTGAATAACTCATAAATCATGACCACTGAACTCACAGGACAGTAGACATGTATATGTTTTTCATATAGACACTCCCAGACTGCGTCAGTTTCTATGTGTGCTTTTCATGTTTGCTACATAGAGAGCCGTGGCTCCAAACCAGCTGCTTCAGCACAAGGCTCAGCTCTCCCAGCCTCAGCTACAGCCACAAGCCAAGCCCCAGCCTCTGGCTCAGCATCAGCAGCCCTCAGCGGGCAGGAGATCCCACCGCACCCTGCCCAAGGACCAAACCCAGCTCCTGTCGCTGCAGCACGACCACAGACACAGGGAGAGAGAGAGGGAGAGAGAGAGGCAGAGGCAGAGAGAAAAGTCTGTGGCAGCTGTCCAGAAGCTAACAGTTAATAGCGGGAACACAGCTGCCACCGCTGCTGCTGCTGTTGCTGCTGCTGCTTCCTCGCCCAGCCGCCCTGCAAACAGCCAGCGCTCAGCGGTAAAATCCTGCCTCCCTCAGCTGTCCAGTACCCTTTATCACCTCTGCATCCTGAATCTTTCAGTCTGTCACTCTCTGTCTATTCCGCCCTCCTCACTTTCACTGAGTTTATGATTTATTTATTCATTGTTTTCTCTCCTCCCATTCCTTTTCCCCTACTTTTGTTACTTCATCTTGACAGACCACTTTCACCTGAAGGTAACAAAGGTTTTGAAAAAGCAAGCCAAATGTTTGGTAGAATATGATTTAAGATGAAAAGCAACACATTTACCCAGTTGACAACACATGGTTAATACCCTCTATTCTTAGAAAAGGTAGCTAAACCACACAAGGAACTTGAACAGGAAACAGACCAAAGGTGCTATTTCTATAAGAAGTCATTTTTAAACATGTGAGAGTCGAAAGGCTGAGTATTGTTTTTTTTTTTTTTTTTGGTAAATCATGGGGTGTTTTTTTGTATCTCTTTCACTTTCGTAACTTCTCTGCCAGCAGAAGCTTTCAGATGATCAGCATCAAAGTGCTTAAAATTGCATAAAACAATATGTTTTCTTATGCTGGGGTTGTTGATGCTACAGTAAATTTGGAATTGGGAAACTCTAAGAAGAAAATGTCAGATTAGTGGCGGTCTTCTCATGTCTGGGCCAGTATGTATAAAACTTGTTAGAAATGATGAAGAATGTTCCTAAAGTTAGGAATCCAAAAAGTCACTTTTAACACCGTTTTTAAGGAGTTTCTTAAGTTCTGCCTGCAGTGACTACAAGTGTTATAAAACATGGACTGCGGTCTTCCCCTAGAGCACAGAATCAGGAAGTAACTGGCCTCCAAAGGTGATTGTGTCATGTCTGCATCACATCGTCATTATAAGGACTACCCATCATTCATTGTGTCCAACACTATATGTGCTTCAATGTATCAAGGAAGAGGAAAGCTAATATAATGTATATCCTGTAAAGTAATGGCTGACGTTATCAATATCTGCCTTTTCGGCTATTAAAAGATTTTAACGTTTACTTGCAGGTTTATATATTTAGAATCTGTCTCATTTGTAATGTCTATGTTCGTTATTCATCATCTATCTTTATTCATTTTACAGCTGTGTTGTTGAATCTATTATGTCATGAATTAATATTGTATAGGTACTGTATGTATTGGGACAGGCCTTGTATCCTTTATTAATTCATCATCATACAGTGTCAGAATATGAAGAGTGTGTAGCTGTTGCCTATTTAGGTCCTAACTGTCTGGAGAGACTTCTGGAGCTCTCTTAAATATTTTCCAAGCTGAGTTTAGTTTAGTTTTTATGCATGGCACATATTCTTAATTCTAAGAATAAGAACAAAATTATATTATTATTCTTAGAACTAAAACCACAATTTGACTCAGAGCAGCTTCATACAGTACTTATATAATTTCTTTCTTTCTTCTTGGTTATTCCTGCATGTGTTATTTATATGTGAAGAGCATTTATGTGTATATGTGTAGTACAGAAGGGCTTGCACTTTACTGTATGTATGGAAAAACATCAATTGATCTCAGTGAGACTACCTGATTAAGCCAGTCTTTCTATGAAACACACACACACACACACACACACACACACACACAGAGAGTCTTACACGTGTTTCATGTTTTAGATGGACTTCCAAGAATCAAACCTAGCCCGGCTGCTCTTGGCGGCAGGTCTGCCCAACCAGATGCACTCTAGGCTGGGCTCTGGGAGCAGTTCTAGTCCTTGTACTCCAGCCATGCAGAGAGCTCACCTCAACCAGGTATACACAATTAAATCACACACCCCCACTATTTCCTTTAAACGTCATATGTAAGCACTGTTTCCAGCTATTCTATTATTTTCTGTTCGCCACATGAGAGATGTGTGTGAGGATGTTATTTTTAATCTTATTTTCCCAGAATGCCAATCTGCGCTCTAGTCGAGATGCCCCTCACAGCAGTTCCATGTCAGATATGGCCATCTCGCCCTTGTCAGCGTTTTCCCCCCTGTCCCCAACTGATGATGTATTCTGGGACTCCGTCGAGGCGCCACCTAAGGTGAGCAACAACTGTCCTATTAGCTTCCGGATGGCCCATGCCAGCAGGTTAGATGACTTACATAAATGTGCACAAATTGAACTGATGTTTATTTTGTTTTTCCTGGCTGCCATCGAAAGAGGAAGTTGTTATTATTGTCATGCCGGGCGCAGGATGTAGCCCACATCGCATGAGGTTGGCATAACGTGTCTGTGTGTGCTAATCATCCTGTATTCTGGTCACACCAAGCTAAGGAAGTGATGCACACAGCACAAGGTTGGCACAGTGTGTGTGTGTCTGTGTTTATGGGAAAGTGTGTGTGAGCGGTTGTTTTTTATCTCAAGGCTTATTATGAAGTGCCCCTAACTGAAAACATCCCTCACTCTCTCTCCGTTGCTCTCTGTCTAACATCATCCCTCCCCTGCTAGGTGTTTTACGAACAGAATATGCTGTTAGGTGTATTTACTAACAGAACACCATATGGAGTTAATAGAACAACTAATAACTACTACAGAGAGAGGAGGGGAGCCTAATAAAGCTGTCTGTTTGCTATGTTATGTTGTTGAACTAACAGGAGACCATATGGAGTCAGTAGAGCAGTTAATAACTCACTACTCTCTCCTGTGATTGCACCGTGGTGACTGCTTTAAAACACTGGAGTGGCTTTAAAACTGATACCTTTTGGGGACCTGCACCACAATAGAGTGACAGTAATGTGCTGTAGCAAAGCCAGGCGTGAATTCAGATCATCTTATATAGGCTTAAATAGCTTTAAGCTGCAGCGGAGGGTTCTTTCTTAGTAGACTGAAGGTTCTTCTAATGCTCAGTAAGCGCTCATTTCATGCATGTGCCGCAATAGTAGACAGAAAACAACAGACACTGAGCTCGGCATGGGTGTATGAGTGTGTGTGTGTGTGTGTGTGTGCGTGCATGTGTGAGGAGCCAGATGCAGGATGTGGGCAACTTGTCAGAAGGATGATAGGTATTCCCACAGCTCACTTCCTGCTCTGCTGGGTGTGTCTTCCTCTCTGTAACTGGGTCATATGACCCAGGAGATGAGAGGTCAAAAAGTCACCAGCTGGTTGGTAGGACTGAGAGTTTGAAAAGAATGAAGTGTTGAAAAATCCAGTTTAAAAGACAATGCTGTGCAACACTTACAAAGATCGTTCTAGTATAGATTTCACAACGCTGTTCCAGTGAAAAAAATTAGGAAATATCCCCGACTCAGATAATATTTCAACACCATATGTACGATTTGGACATGGCTTTGGGGAGTTTAAAGAGCAACATTGAAAGGTTAAGAAATAGCATAGCCAAATGGTCTCATTAGATTCTCAGTAATAAATATCTCCTAGTGGGTTATTAAAGATTTTATTGCACTCTGCTCTACACCCTTTCAGGCACTGTAGAAGTTGTTGCACATAAAGGTTTCATAACCGCAGAAACCTTCCTATAATTAGCTGAAACCCTGCTTGGCTAGACATGAGATTCTTGTAAAGAGCCCTCTCAAACTTATGAAAATTGAAACAAGCAATCAGGACCACCAGGGGACTGCTGTCTTTGTGTATTCGCTCTGTGCTTCTATGTGCATGCATTTTTGTCAAGTCTGTTAAATAGTCTCTTCTTCTTCCCTCTGTCTTATGTAAAATCCAGGTCCCAGAACGCACTACCTCTAAGTTCTACTGTCGAGAGCTGGTGATGGGACACAAAAGGGCCGTTTCAAGGTAGACCACAATTACACTGTATGCACATTAAACACGTAGACAACACATAACGATATGTGTTCTTTATAAACGTTGCCATATGTTTTGTCTGTACCTAAGCCACTGATTTCACCTTATTTCATGTGTACGCTCCCTGCCCGGCATGAAATGACACACAAAGTTAGTAAGTAGCCATTGTTTCCCCTCAGGAAGAGCAAAACAGCTAAAATGAGAGTGAATACTGGCCACATCTCTAAATAAATACCTATATGTAGCTCCATGTGTTTATACGGTGATAATATGTCTGTGTTATATTTAGAGAACACTTGCCCCAAGTGCCAAAAACTTCTGTTTTTCTTGCTTAAAATAAACACACACTGTGTAAATGTGCAATCATTAAAATGACAAAATTACCAGTTTGTTTCACTTACAACATTGTTGAACCTTGACATAGCAATGTAAATAAAAAAGCCATATTGTACACGTTTACTCTCTCACCATAATCTTCTACCTGCTGTTCTGTTCATAAAGCATGACCTTCACTGCCTCATATTGTGTGTTTTATATATTTACCTACAAAGCGGAGTTACAGCAGTGAGGTCTCTCTTGACTTTGGGAGTACCCAGAAGCTAATGTCAGCTGAGCTGGTTGCCTTAGGCAGCAAATATGTGGGCATTGTCTCGCAGCATAAAGATACAATGCATATGTCTGTCCTTAAATTGGAAACAAGACAAGCCTGAATAACATAACATACATACATACATACATACATTCATACATACATAATAACATTAGTCCTAAATAGAAAGTGAATGTACATTCTTCATTTGTTTGGTATTGTAACCATGCTATGAGCAGAGCAGTTCTTTATCCTTCCAGTTAGAGTGAACCTTATTCATCATGAGACTGTATATCACACTACAATTCAGCTCACTGGCATGCACTATTAGAGAACAATCGGTCATGGGTAGATCAGATCAGCTTAGCTTGGATGATTATTTTCGATTAGATGAAACTAATGGTGAGGAAATCGGGTCATTGCAGTGACAGCGTGAAGGATATACTCGAGGTTAGAACTTATAGAAGTGTATGTTAATGTTGATCAAAAATCTCTCTCCCATCTGTGTCACTCTGTATGCGTGTCTCTTTCTCCATCTAGTGGCTGTCCAGTGTCTGTAGCAGATAAGAGCGGACGGTCGGTGTCTCATGGAGTCTCCCCTACCAGCAGCCACCACCCAGGTCTGTGCCACCTTAAGTCAACCCCAACAGGCTGACCAGGCTTAGTCACATGCTGTTAGCTGCTGTATGAGCCATAAAAATTAACCCCAACAAAATACAGGTTCTTAAACTCTTTTCATAGAGATGAAGTGTAGTTCTGTCATCTTTTTTTTTTAATGACCAGGATCTCAACATGAGGGATACGTTCTCTCTAATAACAGGAGCCTATATATATACTATATATGGTGTATATATATATATAGTATTTGTTCTATGATAAGCGATTAAAGATATAAAAGTTTCTGGCTTTGTAGTGCTATTGTTGTTTTTGACCAGCATGGTGACTGTTGTGGTCTGCCACAGTTTCGTTTAAACTCAGCCCTTGTTTCCACACAGATGTGGCCCTGATATGAAATAATGCGTGTGTGTAAATCCTCAAAACAGGCACACGCACACACCAGGTACATGTAGCCACACCAAGCCCACCAAAGACTCAACATAGAGTACACACACTTACTATAAAGGAGCGAGAGCGCAGTCATGAGTTCAAAGCTTGCCCCCTCCACCTGTATGAGAGAAAGAAACAGCTCATCTATTTCAAAGCTGCTCTCTGTGTGTCGTCTGTGTGTGGCACCATGGAAGCTCCTGTTGTATAGACTTGGAGAGAGAGAGAGAAAAAGGAGAGAGGAAGATGGGGGGAGAATCTGTTTCGTGTTTCAAAGTTTCCCTCTGAGAGGAAACAAGTTTTCACGCCTCCCACTCAGTTTGGCTGCTGACCTCGGCCTTGTTTGGAGCCGCAGATCAGAGATTCTCCTGCATACTCATACAGCTTTACTGTGGTAAAAAGCTTTTTATCTGCTCATGATGTAACTGAGAAAAGCAGCTTTCTCTTTGAACTGTATTATTATTAAATAGAGTATTTGTAGCACTGACATAAATATATGATTTACAAATTGATTATATGGTTTAAAATCATAATATCATGCTAGGACAAGGGATTGCTAGCCTCTGTCACAAATAGTAAAGCTAGTGTTTATCAGAATTAAAGACAGCGTTTCCCTTGATTCGTGTGAATTCTCACAATCTGCCATTGCTGAGAACTCTTGGTATGTGGTGAGAGAACAGTTTCCTGTTTTGTACCATAAAACAATCATTTTTGTTCTCAAAACCATAGCAGAGTTTTGAAGCCAATAATTCTGGTACCAGACACAGATCTATTATCTGACCACCATTTGTAAACACATTAAAGCTGCTCGAATCAATATTTTTACATAAAAAATGAATCAGAGTTTTAGATTTAGCTCTTAAAGCTGGTGACTTGCTGGGTGAACTTTGTGGAGCATTTAGCCGCTAAAGAGCCAGTTTCCCTCAGGAGTAGGTGGAGAGCAAAGGGGATGAATATTAGACCAGATAGTCACACAACTCCAAGTGAATGTTGTCCGTGTCTCCTGGATGGAAACTGTATGCTTACACATTTCCCCACATCAACTATAGTATGGTAATAATATATCAGCATTGTGTTTGAACCTGTTGCGCCACCCCATGCTTGATTAATGCGGGATTAAATATTTCAATATCTAATTTCACTTTTTTTGATGTGTTTTCTTTTTTGTCTTTTTTATATTTGTGCAATGTAGGGACTTTTTGTTTATTAGCAGGTCAAGCTATGTTTTGGGCTTTTGGTCCATTCAGAGTGCACCTGATCCAACATCCAGCTCAGCATTTACACTTTATGGCTGTAAAGCAATCCAGCTTAGTGATACACAATGTTAGAGCCAATGTAGAGGCCAGTAAAGGCTGCCATCATTGGAGAAAGGCCTCAATTGTCCAAGATAATTATACCTCTCACCACAAATGCTCATCTGTTAAAGGTTCAGTTGTTTGCTCAACACAACCTCCTGCTGTTTTCACACTGCATAACTGCCACTAATGTGTGTGTGTTTATATTTATGTGTGTGTGTGTGTATGTTAGGTTTCTTCAAGCTGGAGAGTCCTCTTTCACAGCACCGTCTACAGCCACACAGGAAGACACAGGAAAATGTAACCAGCGGACATTCACAAGTAAATGAAGAGTCACTTTCCGTAACATTTTCACAGCTATGACCAAATTCTGACACACATGCAGATCTGACGTGTGTGAACATGAATTACTAGCATTATCAGAAAAATCAGCTCAGCTACATTAACCCAATTAACAATGACGAGCAGGATCATGACAAAACACATGCACACAGATTTCCTCTGTAAAATGACGTCAGAATATTTCCAGTAGCCCCCTCTTCTTCAGATGTAGAAATAGTTTTGTGTAATCATTTTCATCTGTTCTCCTTCTGCTGTTTCTTTGATCTTCTGAAGCACTTGACCCTATTTACTCATATTGCTCCTCACCTTTTTCACTCAGGGTGTTAGATCTGCTCTGGGTCGGCTTAACAAGGCCACAGAATACTCCTCTTCCAGCGACGAGGTCGGCAGCAGTGATGATGAAGATAGGAACAGGTGATACTTCATCATCAGTATAATAATCGCTTTATGTAAAACAATCCTGATTTAAGTACACAAAAAAAAAAAAAAGCTGAATATCATAATGTCAGGGACAAAGTACTGAGTCAGTCTTTCAGTGTTTCCAAACAACACAATTACGAAACATAACCTGTTGCAAGATGTAATGTGCCAAATGTGAAACCACTTTTAAGAATCAGAGAAAAAGGCCATGCTTACTCAGAAATCTGCTGCATCTACTGAGAAAGCCTGTATTTGGAAATGTTTCTGCTGACTACCAAGTCTAGCTTAAACCCAAACACTGACAAACAAACTGCACATGTTAAAATGCAGTAATAACATCCCGTGGCTTAAATTTCAGATTTATTGGACCATCTCAACCTTGATACATTTTACATAGAGTGCATTTGTGTATGCTTATGGTGATAAATAGGATACCGTATTTATTATTTTTGACATAAATCATTTCTCTCCTGGTCCCACTTCTGATCCCAGGAAGTTAATCAGCCTCATTTTTATCCCCATCGATTTGGAGGATGTATTGACCTTGTTTCCAGTTAATGAATGCCGTACCTGCAGTCAGGCTCTAGTCTGAAATCCTGGCATGTCTGTATGTTTCAAGGTCTGGTCTGTCCAATGGAAAGGGGAAATACTTCAGAGGAATACCTGATGGCATCGTACTGCAACCTCACCACAATCTTAACCAGGTACCCCGCACACATACACACATACACACATATACACATACACACACACACTGCTCCCCTGTTTCTCCTCTAAACTCCTCTTTGCAATTTCATGTTTAACAGCTAGAGGGTGCAATATTCACTGTTATGGGAGATGACTGGTGTCACACACTCTGTTCTGACAACAGTGGGTCAAAGTGTGCTGACTCACCATTTAAATGCAGCCCCACCTTACGTGCTTCTTTGTGTCTGTGCGTTCTGCAGATTTCTCGGATAGGTTCAGATGATACCTACATGCTACCAGACCTCCTGCAGAAAACCTCCTCCTCCAGTCCTACCCATAACGCACTGGGCCAGCAGCAGCGAGCATGTGAACTCAACTACTCGCAGTCGCCCACAACCCCTCGATCCCCCACGCACCAGGACCTACATGTGAGTTTATATGGACCATATGGATTTCTATCTAGATATCTTTAGCTCCATGGTAAGATATCATTGAGTCTTGTGTTGACAAAGGTTGAAAAAGAGAAGTAAATCTTTCAGTGGGGTTATAATAAGATTACTTGTTTGGAACATAAAAAAAAAAACATTACGAGGACATATAATTTTGAGACTAGTGGGCTCAGTAGGCTAAATAGATTGGATAACATTTTTGATACAAGTTTATAAGCATTGTTTAAGCATTTGAAAGCATGTGTTTTACTTGCTGCAATAGTTGCATTTGTCCACCAGAGGGAGGTGGTGGTACAGTTTAGGTGCACAGACATGGGTAGTGATATAATCTGTTTTAATAGTCCTGTAGTAGTATCGATCTGCATTTAAAATGAATGTGCTTACCTGGCCAAACATGCATTTCATTTGTCCTCATACAAATTTAGAACCGAGAATGCATTTGTTGTAATAATGTTGGGTCTGAAATGAACTGAGGCTCAGAAAAGAAAAAGACTTGTTAGTGATGTCAAATTGTTTTCATTGAACTATAGAGCTGTGAATAGGAATTGTAATATTGTGTATGCAGCCAATATCTACCAGAGCCAATCAAACAATAAAAAATGCTCTGGAATAATAATAATAATGTTTTTCTTGTCGTTGTTCAGGCTGTCGGCAGTCCTACTGGTAAAAACATTTCCACATCTTCAACTTCCTCCTTCCTGTCCTTCATCGATCCAAGATTGATTCCAATATCATCGCCACCACAGAGCCCTAGTGAGTACATTTACACACACACACACACACACAAGCTGTATACATAGACTCATACATACATACATATATTACTGATTTCACTTTTTTGTGTGTAATATATAGAATATTTTTTGATTGTTTTACTTAAACCAGTTTACACGAGAGAGTCAGTTTACTTTGAGTAATTGTAATCATTTAACTACACCGTGCATTGTTTACATTGTTTTTTTGTCCCCATGCAGCAGGCAGTAAGGGTGAGCCAATCAAGAGAGAGAACCACCGGAAGGGCTCTGTGGTGAACGTGAACCCAACCAACATTCGACCACAGAGTGACACTCCAGAGATCCGCAAGTACAAGAAGAAATTCAACACAGAAATTCTCTGTGCTGGACTATGGGGTTTGTAGTTTTATATTGCTTGTGTTTTAAATAGAAATAGATATAATTGGAGGTGTGATTTATTATTATGTTTGTATATTGTGTATATTTATATTGTAGATGTGGCTACATTCAACTACTGATGTCTTACAGATGGATGGATACATGACACAGCATGTTGAGGTGTAAAGTGTGTGTGTGTTTTTGTTGTACAGGTGTGAATCTGTTGGTGGGGACCGAGAATGGCCTGTGGCTGCTGGATCGAAGTGGTCAGGGGAAAGTGTACTCCCTCATCAGCAGGCGAAGGTTTCAGCAGATGGATGTGTTGGAAGGACTCAATGTGCTGATCACTATATCAGGTACTTGTGCTGTAGATTCAAGTACACAAAACACACTGACACAGATGAATATAGCTCTAGAAACACCAAGAACTCTCCACTGGCTGCACTCACACAGTTACTATAATTGGCTCGCCCCTTACAGTGAAGCAGACAGAAACAGACCAAACATTTGGCCACCAGCCTTCCTCGTATCTCAAAATATCTAACAATAATATGAGGAATAGTTTGTTTTTTTAACCTTCTTTTCAACCTCAAGTATTGTTAAAGTGCCCTTGAGCAAAGTATGTCAGTATTCCAATATACCAGCGTATTAATAACTGTATATAACAGGATGAACTGTATCTGTAGGTAAAAAGAACAAGCTCCGTCTGTACTACCTGTCCTGGTTAAGGAATAAAATCCTACACAATGACCCAGAGGTGGAGAAGAGACAGGGTTGGACTTCAGTGGGTGACTTGGAGGGCTGTGTACACTATAAAGTTGGTAAGTACACACTGGGAAGGGCCACATTGAATGGTACAATTATTTATTTTCCATGATAGAAGTATTAGTGTTGTTGTAGAGAGTCTGAGTAATCAGGTCTCTTTGTCCATCCTGTTTCTTCAGTGCGTTACGAGAAAATTAAGTTCTTAGTGATTGCTTTGAAGAATGCTGTGGAGGTGTATGCCTGGGCCCCCAAACCCTACCACAAATTCATGGCCTTCAAGGTTGGTAACAGTTTAAATTAAATATAAAATCCTCTGTGTGTCCGTGTGAAATAATAGTTAGAAGCTCTTTGCCGCAGCTATAAAGATAATGTGAGCAACATACAGTATGTTGTCAATACTACAGTGTAAGTTAGGGAAATATCTGAAATACTAGATGGGTTGCCAAGCTAACATGCTACATTCATTAAACGTACATCAACTGACAAAAGTTGAGCAAAGTCTAACAAAGCAAGTGAAACCCCAAACAATCACCATACAGAGGATAAAATGAATCTCAAGCTTCTGGAGTTACGTGCAGAATCCAAAATGCTCAGCTAGCATCTCAACTTAATGATTGGGATCTCTGAAGTACTTAAATCACCACCAACAAGTAATCAATACTGTCCATCATTGTCTTTTCCATTCTTACCATGTCTTTGCATTTCTAGGACAAAACAATTATAGACACAGACCAGAAAATCTAATAAGGTCACTTTCACAGCCAGACACAAAGACATGACACATCCAGGCTATGAGAGTCGTACACACAGATTCTCCGCAGAGTTGTGTCCCATTTCTCTGTGTCCTTCGTGGCCTGAGCTACTTTTTCTTCCACACAACGTAGTTTAACCCCCTCCTCAGAAAAGGCCCAAAATACACAACCTCATGGAAGTGATAGCATGACTCTTCAACTTGTCAAAGTCAGTTGCTGATTAATAATTAATGGAGCAGTTAGATCACTGGTGTCACGGTTTATTTTGACAGTGTGTTCAGTCATTAAAGGTAGTAACTGAAATGTGTTTGTCTTTGTGTACAGTCATTCAGGTCTCTGCCTCAAAAACCACTGTCTGTTGACCTGACAGTCGAGGAAGGTCAGAGGTTAAAGGTCATCTACGGCTCCTTGTCTGGTTTCCACGCCATTGATGTCGACTCTGGAACACCCTATGACCTCTACCTCCCTACACATGTGAGAGTCTACTTAATATTCTTTATGCTTTATACATTTGCTTGTTAATTTGTCTGTCTGTCTGAAAGGCTAAGTCCTTCCTGAAATGTCGTGTTTCACTTTTATGAGAGAAATGACGTCTGGGAGAAACTTCACCAACAGGATTTCTCTGGTATATGTTTATTATCTTAAAAACAGGTGTTTGAAAAGGAGGGTCATCTTATAATCAGGGTTGTGGGCCAATACACTAATAAGCTTTATGTAAACAGTGTTAGTGGATCAGTATATCAACGTAATCTTATATCATATATGTTAACCTCAGGCAATTTGGTGGTAAGTTCACACAATAAATTCCTTAAAATGTGTATTTTCAGTTTGTATTTTTCAACTTAATATAAATTCTTACAATTTCTAAAAGATAATGAATTAATGAAAAATATATTAAAACATGTTTGTGCTAGTGACACCAAAGATACTTTTGTAAACTAGGTTGCTAGACCTTTAGTGGACAAGATTATTTATTTCATTTTATATTCTCAAATAATTAAAAAAAGATTATTTTTATTATAATTTTGTATGAAAAGCCCATGTAGAATTTAGTATTCAATATTTCGAGATCTTTGAGATTGTGCATGATATCATTCTCACTGTAGCTGAATCTCTCTATTACACCTGACTTTTACTTTGTGTATTTATCCATCAGCTGTTATCTCTCTATTCAGCCATATCACCTCACTCCTCTCAATCTCTCAGGCTGCACTTCTCCTCCTCCTCTTCCTCCCACTCACAGTGTGCAGATGTCAGTCACTGCTCTCCTTTATTTTTCCTGCTTACCTCTTTCCACCTCCATCCACTATCCTCCTACTCAGTCTGTTGCTGTCAAACACTTTTCTCTTCCTCTTTCATCCTTCTCTTCTTTTCCTCCTCCCACTCTGTCATCCAGTGTGCCATTGTTCATTTGCTCATTTTCTCCTCATTTTTATCTTCCTCTTTGCTGCATTTACCAAACTATCATTGCTCTGTCTCGTCCTTCCTCTGTGCAGTCTGTAGGTAGGTAGAGCTGACAGCAGAAACGAGTGACTCATGATCACATTTCTAGTCAGACGTTGACAGTTTTATTCCCTGTACGACATTTGAACTTTTAGAATTTGATCAAACAAAGCCTGGGTCAAAAAGACGCTTTTGTGCGCATTCGGTTGATTATTGGTTGAATATTTAATTGTTGTGATCTTGGAAAACCTTTAATCCAGAAAGTGATGCAACATGTATCTCCCCCACCCAATAAAGACCACTGTTCCACTGAAGCCACTTGGTCCTCTTGCCAATAACGATATGGGGCACTGAATGAACATCATTCACCATAGTAACATTATAAACATACGACTAAGGAAACTAAGGAAAAGCTTAAAAGGTTACCAAAGCTGCCAAACATCAGTCTATAATTATAGTTCGATATACTGGTACTCACTTTGATGAATCGTCTCCATTTCATTGTCTCTCGAAGTTCTTTAATCCAAGGATTGACTGCATTTGGTGCCTAACATGTCAAGCATGTCCACAGCATTAAATTATAATATTTGTGAAATGTTAATGCCTTAAGATGCAAACTTCCTTGAGTTATAATGATTTATGGAAGTCTGTAAAACTTTACAGCTTTTTTTCCATCTCCTAAAAGGTTTGTGCAAATATATGTGTGCCTTTAAATATGAACAAATCGCCCACTGCTGGTACAATTAGAGATAGAGCGGGTCATCTTTTTTCTCTCCTCTGCTGTATGTGGGCATGTAAAGCTCGCTGCAGCCTGCGGTGAGTCATATTCACATTCAGACTCTGACACATCCTATTAAATATGTTTTAACAAGAGGTTTGAGGCTCAGGATATGACAAAGTATTTTAACTTAAAGTTTGAGTTTAGTCTATTTTGTCATACAGTATAAAGTGTTGCAAGCATTTGGTGGGTTCATTAACTCTTTGTGGACTATACCAGATTATTTCACATACTGCCCATACAGATGGTGCTGAGTGGGTGGCTGGACCAGGGTAATTAATGATTTATATAATTATTTATTTTCCTCATCTTTCTATTATTTTGTGATACTGTGACAATGACACCGTTGTTCCATTTTGGATCTTTGCCATAGCTTCAGAGAGCAGAGGTCAACATGTCTACTTGTATGGCTGGATATTACAAGTTTTGAGTGAAGAGCTAATGCCTCATTTACATCAGTGGTTAAAGAATAGTTGACCCTTCCTAAGCCCCGCCCCTTTTTTGCTCTATGTCCAATAAGAGTTGAGCAGCTTTTTTCCAGCAATTAGATACGCTATGTGCTAGACTCGTCTGTGTTGGAAAGATAACAACATTTTATATATATTATTATATATATATAGTTATATATATATTTATATTTTGTTCTTAATATATGTTGTTTGTATATCTGGAGTTTGTAACAAAAATAATTTCCCCCTGGGAATATTAAAGTATTTCTGATTCTGATTCTGATTTTGAAGGTTATGATTAAAAGATAAAGCGACATTATGTATAGTCACTTTATTATGTTAGTAAGACATTTAACACTAGTTAATTACCTGGCTAATGATTAATACAGATTAGCTAGACAGTTAGCTCGCAGTTTCCTAACATAAGCTAACTTATACATATATATATATATATATGCATTTTTCTGAGCCAGGTTTCAAAAGGGTTAGGACTTAGGAAGTATCAGTGGTTACAATGGTGTGTTAATATGCCTATATCTCTGAAACTGAGCCTGTTCTTTGTGAAATAGATATTTATTTTTAATATTTGTATTTTTCATAACATTAACTTGGATGAAGCAACATTTTTTTGTCCTCTCTGTCTCTCATTCATAACACCTTTCTCTTCGCTCATTCACTCACACATACACCACCCTCAATGTGTGCTACTTTCTGTATTCATGGGGGAGTTGGAGCCAGAGAGGCAGAGAGACATACGAAAAGAGAAATAAGCTCTAAAAATACATCCTTCCTGTCCTCCTTTTCTCGCGATCATTAACCGTGTGTGTCCTAACCTGTTCTTGCTCCTGTTGAGAGTTTTTTTTTTTTTTCCCCCACCGCTCCTCCGTTATATTAAGCGAGTGTGCACACAGCTGCCTACTACATCGGTGCCTTATACTTCTGCTGCTGCTGCGATATCATTTCAGCTCTCCAGCCTCTTTCTCCCTTTTTCCTTTTCACTCTTACATATACAGTCAAGCTTTCTTACACACACACACACACACACACACACACACACACACAAGCTACAGAGCACTTTTAAACCCACTCACTTGCACTGAGACATCCTCATAGTTTGACTACTCTTGAGGACAATTCACACTCCCGATCTTTCTTCATCTTTTCTTCATGGATGTATATTCGTACTCTGACACACACTCATTTAGACACACACACCTGCTTATGTGCATACACACACTCACATGCATCAACAACACATTCACTCACAACACTGACTTCATCATATTAAAAGCAATTCACCTATTCACAAGCCCACACACGCACACACACACACACGCTCACCCACTTAAAGAAACACACACACAAGCTTCTTGCCTGCGAACTATATAACAATGCTGATTCCAAGGCAGAGGATTAAGATTGCGTTGCGTCTGTGGATGCCTGTTCTAATGCTCAGGATTGTGGTGGCTCAGCCTCTGGTAATGTATGAAACACGCTCACAGAAAATATAATTAATCGCTTCTTGTAACATAGCACAGAAGACTGCCTAACTTATTTTTCTTTTTTCCTGGAGGAGCTCTGTTGCTGGAAGGATTCCCTGTTTGTTGGGCTGTTATTAGAGAAATGTTTTTGGACTGGTTAGAGACGTGTTTTGAACTGGTTAGAGACGTGTTTTTGAACTGGTTAGAGACGTGTTTTTGAACTGGTTAGAGACGTGTTTTGAACTGGTTAGAGACGTGTTTTTGAACTGGTTAGAGACGTGTTTTTGAACTGGTTAGAGACGTGTTTTTGAACTGGTTAGAGACGTGTTTTTGAACTGGTTAGAGAAATGTTCTGGAACTGGTTAGAGATCTTTCAACTGAGAAAAAACATCAAGCCAATAATTGCATTTCAGGAAAGTCCTGCCTGTCCCTCTCTGAACTGTATTTCCTTTCTACTTGCCTTTTGATCATCCTCAGTAGTCTTGTACCTTCGACTTATTCTTTGATTCAACAACTGAAACACATGTCATAAAAGAAACTGTACTGTCAACTCTCAGACAGTTGGCAGATGTGCCTTTATGTTTTATGTACAAAAAAGTGTCACAACATTGAAAAACAATGAGCTGTTCTGATTTGAAGTACGTTGAGTAGTTTTGTTTATGATGTCTTTGTGAATTAGTTCAAACTTGTATTTATTGTGTTTATCTCATAGATCCAGGGTTCCATTCATCCCCATGCCATCATCATTCTGCCAAACAGCGCTGGAACAGAGGTTCTGGTTTGCTACGAAGACGAGGGCGTCTACATTGACACCTACGGTCGCATCACCAAGGATACAGTGCTGCAGTGGGGGGAGATGCCTGCATCAGTTGGTAAGTTTCACTCATGCACACACAGACATAATGACACACACACTAAATACACATGAAATTAGAACAAAAAGCACAAAGTGTATGTTGATACGTTACTACCAGAAACACAGTGCCCCTGTGTTGATTAACCTATTTAACAGTGACACATTCATACATCTACAAACTGAGATATTTAATAATTTCAACAATTGGATCGTACTCTTAAGTTACTATTGAATGTATTTCATAGTGGCCAGATGTCTGACTTACTGATTCTAGATCAGCAGCTGTCCTGAGAACTGAAAACTTACCCTGAACCAGATTCTGTGACGACAGATTTGGGACAGGGTGGGCTAAAATTAACATGGTAGTGATTCTGTGTGTGTTGGGTCGGGTCCAGTAGTAATTATTCTAGCATGAAGGCTGTCTGTAGGGAATTAAATTACTCTCACACACACAGTTCTCCTATTTCCTAATGTCTATAGCTGTATGTATTGTATTTCTGTCTCTTCATATCCATGTCCATTGTGTGTCTCTCTCTCCAGCCTACCTTCAGTCTAACCAGGTGATGGGTTGGGGAGAAAAGGCCATAGAGCTGAGGTCAGCCAACACAGGGAACCTGGAGGGAGTTTTCATGCACAAAAAGGCCCAGAAACTCAAGTTCTTGTGTGAAAGGAACGATAAGGTAGGAGTTCAACTCTGTCTGCATTTACTTTTAAGCTTTGCAGCATAAAGTGCATTATTTTCATTCCACAACACAAAACACTTTTTCATCATTTTACAAATTATCTAATTGTGACATACTGAAACATTGTTAAATATATAGAAGATAAGTTGAATAAAGTAAGTAAGATTATGTTTAAAGTTGTTAATTGTTACAGTTTAGTAGAGCAAAAATCAAGAAAATGCTATATTTGTGTTGTTTTGCCAGTATATCACTTTTATTTCTTTCTATTCTTATAAGTCATATACATCAAGTTGTACATCAAGTTGTGAATAGAAAGCCTAATTTACATTGCTTGAATCTCTATAAAACATAAATTGTGAATGCGTTACTTTCACTAAATGAGTTTAAATAATGTAGATTATATGTTATAACCCTGTATATTAAATTTCCTGTTCTCTCTCTCCTGTTTTATAAACAATATAGTTAAAGACAATGGCATGTTCAGTTTGTAGTCCTGACCTTGGAAATAGTTTGACTAAGAACTCTTCAATCAATGGCCACTTACTGGATTTCTTGTAGATTTCTCTGTTATCATGCGGCCAGGAGTTTCATACTGGTACAACTGAACAATCTGAATGAGTAAACTCGATTTGCTAAAGGCCATGAGAAACGTCTGAAAGTTTCAGAGGTATCTAACTGGACCATGAGTTAGGACCTTTTTGTCGAAAAACCATGGTCACATCAGTTTAACCGTAAATGCAGCCACAGTAAGTTAGATTTATGAAAGTATCATAAACTTTGAGCATAATTTCTAAACCTGCGTCTCTCTCCTGTTGCAGGTCTTCTTTGCCTCAGTGCAGTCCGGAGGCAGCAGTCAGATTTACTTCATGACTCTGGGACAGAACTCGCTGTTCAACTGGTAACAACTCGACCCATTGCTCTGGGATCTAGTGGTGGTGTCTGCCTTCATTATTCTGGGTTTACCTGGTGATGCCTTTTTATTTTTGTTCTGACTGATGTTCATCTCCATGGATGGTGGACACCATACAAAGATCAACTAGTTAATCCTGGATTCATTACTCTGTCTTGTCTACAGTAGTTGCCATGTATATGCGCACGGATCCACAGCTGAGTTGACTGAGAGTCCATCACTCCTTCCTTGAATACTGACACCTGAATCCTCGCTCCTTCAGCTGTAGCAACACACAAATCCGGACCTGTAATTCAGCAAAAAAGAGCTTTTGTTCACTGCCACCTCTTCCGTCCATGGAAGCACTGAAAGGTACAACTTTCAGTGTCAGAATTTATCATGTATAAAGCACACACAGCATTTTCTTATGCTTGAAGTCTACCTGGAGTCTTTCCCAGTAGGATTCAGGCTGCAAACCCTCTCTGCACCAGTGTGGCAGAAGACTCTTTTTGTGTCCCGTTGTGTCCAAATGTACCTGGAAGCAAAACCGATGGCTTGATTTGGTGGAATGTGTGGTGATTTCAAATGAACACCAGGTCATCTGGCCTCAACATCCCGTTCCTGCTCTCATCTGTCAGCACTGGAGACAGGAGCCCGCTCAGTTTGTTTCACATTCTCTCTCTGGTGGATCAGTTATCTCTTTCTTTTTCTCGCTGAGGAACTCTGTTGTATCAGTTACACTGCTAAGTATGTGTATATCAGTTACTCGCTCATATTTGCTTTAACAATGCCTGGCTGTGGCGTATGACTGGACCAACTGCTTGCTTTTCATCTGATGAAGTCAAGTCTTTATAGCTGGATAATTGTTCTCAGAATGCAGACCGGGGGAGTTTCTTCTCTGGTGTGTCTTCATGCAAGCAGTATTTGTGTTAAAAGGAGTAAAACTAGAAGAACAGAAGTCCTTCATCAACCTCATTCGCTCCATGGACATCATCTGGGCATTTCAAGGAGTGGGTTGGGGCCACAATGTCAATAATCAGTTTCCACAAACCACCTGTGTTGTCTGCCTGCAATACCTCAGCAGTGTTCTTTATGAAGGAGTTCTTCTTCACTACTGTTAGCAGATATCAAGGACCCAAAGTCATTTGTCAATTACTGTACTGAATCTTTGTTTTGTTGGTTTCCATATAGTATTATTAGACAGTATTATATTATGTACTATCAAATATTATGTTGTTGAAAGAAGAGACATTCAGGGTGGCAGTAAGTCCGTATAACACCCTACAAATCATAGATTCAATCAGTCAAACTGTAACCATAGCTGTAAAATATACTGTCCATGCAAACCTTACAATAAGATGTCAGTATTAAATTTCTCCCATTAAGACATGGACATAAGGTCATTCTCTCCCTAGTGATGAGCTGGAAGTCATCTTTACTCTGTGCTTGAAATCAGTCACCAGTTAGGTAAAAATGATCTGCTGCATTGCAAACTTAACATAAAAATGACTTGAATAGATTTGAGTACCCCAACAGTTTTCTTAGATCCCAGTTTGAGCATTAACTCCCCCACAGATCTAGATCATGTAATTTTAGTCTGATTATTCCATAATAAGATCCTTAACAGCCTTGTTCTTAACTGTAGGAATTGTAATGTACAGCAGAAATGGTGTACACAATTAGAGATACACACCAACTCCACAGTAACAGGCTAAGAATGCTTTTCTGCATCTGTTTTGTACAGCTTATGATGTATATAATCCTGTAAGATGCACTGTTTTCTAAATATTTTATAATTGACAAGCCATCTTTATGTATGTGTACAGAATTATAGGCTTATGAATGTGAAATTCCATCCCAGAACAGAGTTCATACATGTTATTTCCATAATCTTCGAGAGTTCAGGGTGTGTGAACATGAACATGAGCTACTGACAGTGAACTTGAAGGCTCCTGTTCAGGTTTTCAACCTGGTGGATGTCAAATAATGTATCAAGTGAATTCTGTTTTGTGGTTGACTTTCTGCTAACGTGTATGAGTCGGGCTCTTTGCACAATGGCCACCTTGTACATGTTGTCTGTAATATATCCTGCTTTGAAATGAATTTTTGGGTTCAAAGTATAAGCTTAAAAGCCATTCTATAGTCAGTATTGAAGATATAACTGATAGCCTTTTGCTTTGGATCAGTATTACACTACCCAACATGGGATGCACACCTGTTTTTGATGGGTCCAGTTGAGGAATTGTTTTTTATTTTATTTTATTTTTTGAGCCTGGATCTGACAAGTTGCAATGAGCTGGGCTGAAAAAAGGTGAAAATGCCCTGTTGTGCAGTATTTGTTCTGTTCTACTTGATATTTTGATCATTTACGCAATGAGCTTCAAAGAAAGACACCAAAGATAAATGCTTTGATATATTGGCTTCCTTGAATCTGACTGTAAGATAATTCACAAATCACAACTGACTATTTGGTTTGGAAAGATGATGAAAAGTCATCTATATTTTTAGAACGTACAGAGTTTAAGGTGTATTATTATTATATTCTGTACAAAAGATGACCAACACATCAGACACATGGAGGCCTGAAGAGTCTCCCAGGAAGGATGTGTCTTGGTAAATCGCAACATAATATATGCAATTTAATGTTGCTAGTGTTCATATATTTAATAGCTTACATGTATGCTTTAGATAGTGCTAGGTTTGGTAAAAGTGAAGAAACAATTGGTTTTTACCTTCAAATGTGAATTTGCAATTTGTCTGTTTCTGATCCATTTTCATTGTACCAGTTGTCTTTTCCTTCATCGGATTTTGCTCAAAATGCTTACTTGGTTATGTTTTGTGTCATATTATCCTCTATATTTACTCTTTAATGTTCTGGCTATCACAATTTGCTCCAAATGTTTTATATTCATGATACTTTGAGTTTTTGTTTTTGTTACGAGTTGATAGAAATATTGCAGCTGGTTCTGTGAGAATATTTTAAACTGGAAAATTAACATTCTGATGATGATGTCTTATTGCTAAGTTGTTACCAGTATTTCTTACAGTATTTGTTTCAGTAGGATAGATGCTATTACATCAGAGACATCAGACCAGATAGCTAGTTAGCATGGCTACAGTGCATGGAAATACAGGATTGCAAACTAACAGGATGACAGGCGTAGACTTGATAGCTAACATATGGCTAAGTTAGTAGAACGAGGCTAGCAGCATCAAAATGTGTCACTCTGTGTACAAAGTCAGTTTCCGTGTGAAGAACTTGACAAACCACATTTCACATACATACCGTGTTTTAAGATACAATTCAAAATGTATCGGCAAAAAAGACATCTTTTTGACACTGACAATACATTTGTACCTTCCTGCAGCTGACAACTGTTATAAAATTTGATGAACATCTTTAACTACATGAGACATAAGTAATGGCACTTTTATTTTAAAATCTTGACATAAATGCCTTCAGATGTCCTTTTTATATGTGAAGTTTATTCCTCCGAACAGGACATATCGTCGTATTTAGAAACGGGCACTGTGATAGCTTGCGGTCGGCTTTGGTCGGGTCTGTTCAGCTGTGAAATCGAGGCCGGCACAGAACCCGGCAGGTTTGGCCAGGTTCCTGAGCAAGACCCTGGCCATCAGAGTCCAGACAGGACGGACCAAAATTAGTCCCAATCTACCACAGTGGTTCCAGCATGTGTTCAGCTGTACCTTACATTCACACAGACCATGAACAGTAGTGAGTCTGTATTTGCTGCACTATCCAACACGCTCTGTCAATGATGCCTGGTTATCAACACAAGTTGCCAGAGAGCACAAGTGAACTAATTAGTCCTTTCATTAATTCGCCCTTGGACCGACCGGTCTGGTTGATTTCATGTCCCTACTTTTAAAGCAATAATGTATGTTTGAGTACCACCGATTTATCATTGCAATTATATGACCATGAGAGATTTTATCAGAGTTATAATTTGGCAAATTTATGAATTAAGTCTTGTAATGAGTGATACATTACTCATTACATACATATTCATTTTAAAAAGCAGTCGTCCTTATTCTGCCGAGTGTTAGCTCAGCACAAGGGTTCTGTTGTTTGGTTCCTAAAAAGACATCTTTAGTTTATTTCTTCTACGTTGTTCCAGATCATGTTTTATCTGCATCATTCTCCATCCTTCTTAAGAAACAACATAGAACTCAGTTCCTCTGCGAGCTATTTGGAGCCAGTGTCACGTGTAATGATGATTATATATCTGGGTTAATCCATGTGACATCTAAAGCTACAGTTTTGAGGCACACTGAGGAAATTTTTTGTGGGTTATTAGAAACAAACTTCTCCTGCACTTTGCCTGCCTGAGCTGAACATCTGACTGTAGCTGTATCACTAATGAGAGAGAGTTCAGTGCATTTCCGCCTACACCTTCCACTGGTTAAGATTTTGATAGATTCGGTTTTCAGGCCCCCGATGACTCACATCTCCAACTCTCCCACCAACTCTTCCTCTCAACATGTCAACACGTCTCCTCTTTCTTACCGCTGCCTTTTATTGCCTCTGCGTCTTTTTTCTCTCTCCTCTACCCATCTACAACCTACTGCTTCTCTCTAACATTAGAGTAGAAGAATAATGCATCGTGATATTTTCTGTATCGTGATATTGCATCGATTCTCAAAATCACTATCGGTTTTTAGGGTTAAATCTCTAACCGCTAGATAGCAAAAAAAGATATTGTGCATTTAGTGGTGTGTTCTTTATACTATGACAGTTTAACTAAAATTAGGTTGTTGTTTTTTTATTGCAATATATCGCCTATAGCATACACTAATGCCGTATATTGAATCGTAACCCCTGTATCACGATACATATGATTGATGTCACATGCTCTCTATTGCTTTCCATTGTCTCTTTCTCTCTTGTCAAGTCCCTCCATCCCTGTTAGCCCTGTTGAAGGACTCCTCGGCCTGTTTGTGTCATTGGATTGGCTGGTGGGGTGAAAGTATTTGGATTTCTATTAATCAGATATGTGAGGTTTGACGCGTACTAAAGGAAACCACGCAGTATAAACATTTAGGTCCACAACCTCAAGATCAACCTCAATCATCCATGCATAGTGTGCCATGTTTCTCTCTCTTATTTCTGAGCAGCTGCTTATCTGATCTTTCCTTTGAAACATGACGTTATCCATCTTTATTGCATCAAATACTAATGCATAATTTACCAACTGAAGAGTCTTGAAACAGACAACAGAATTGCCCCAACCCTGTTTTTGGCTGATTGGTGAAGTAGGATGAAGCATGATGCAGACAAATAATACAAAACAGCTCGAATGTATTGCATCAGGTTTGCTGTATTCCGTTAAAGAAAGACTGTGTAACGTTTGCAGAGCTGTGGCAACAGTTAGCTTTCAAAACACCTGAGTGTATTGAATTGATCAAGGGTGGGTTTTGTTGCTTATTGATTCAACTTTTAATTTGCAAGAGGAAGAATGTGCCGTTTCTTTTAAAAGTTACACAGTTTTCCTTGAAGTGATGCAACTGTTACTTTCCAGCCTGTGTATGAGCTAAAGTCTGCGGATGAGCTATGCAGTTCTAAAGAAAGTGTGTGTTTGTGCGGGAAGGTGTAATGTAGATTGGGAACAGGTGTTTAATAAGCACAAATTCAGTCTGTAAGAGAAGGAAGGATAGAGTTAGAGGAGGTAGTTAGTGGCTTGAGTCAAGTGTCAGTTAATAGAAGGAATATAGATGTTGCTTTGAAACCCAAATGCACAATGTTTTCTTGTTTTATTTCCTTTAGCCTACAATAATCCTTAGTGTTAACTCAGTTTGGGAAAACAATGGAAAACTTGAGGGTAAAACGATTTATTTTACATGCTAACGGAGCCAATAATGGGGCCAGCATTTCAACAGAGGGCACCAAACTGCACATGTGGATTAATTATCTTTAGATAATGACGGTTGTATTGAGGAGAAGAAGGAAGAGCATGTGAAGGAGAGAGGCAGTAATTGTAATGAAAAGAGACTAGACTAGACTGGTAGTGTCTGTCGATGAGTGATATTTCCCAAATGTTTAGATTTAGCCAATAATTTATAATTATCAGTATATTTGGGACTAACTTGATAGAGTTACCCAACTGCTTGCAATATGGAGTCACAGGACAGTTGTGTTCTTGTAAATTCTAAAGAAAAGTTGAGATTATAAAATACCAAATATATAGATATATTTCTAAGTATATATATTCCCCGTTATGAAGTTGTTCCTTTGTTTTATTTTTATTTTTTGCACTGGACCTATGTTTGATGCATCATATACTGTACTGTACCCCTCCTGCTTTGAGATGATCACAAACTAACTTGTGTTTCCATGTAATGAGGCAAAAGACAGTGAAACAACAATAAATATGTTGAGTCGATGGTGTATTGTGTGTTTTAAATGTCTGATTTCCTTCATCTACCCACAGCTTTATTTCTGCTTGCTGCATGTGTCATTGTGACAAAAGATGTCACACTTGTCATTGTTGGTACAACACCATCAGCAGAAGCGTTTGTTCTTTTGATTTCCTTACGATGACGAGCTCTATTGAAGTCAAATGATCTATTCAGAGTCGCCCATTATTGTTCTTGCAGTGCAAACAATCAGGGTCATGAGCTAGGCTGCATTTTCAAAATAAAAGCCCCAATCAATAACAGGAGCCTAGGAAGGGACCCTGAGGGATGCTGGACTTTCAAAATACTGTGGATAATCTGATTTCACTGCTGCATTTAGCACTATAAATTATTTTATTTTTTTGTCTTAATTGGGATTAGGGTATGGTCTGAATAGATAAAACGGTGGCTATTCCCTTGATCAGTCTGATGTGTTTGTGTGGTGGTTTTCTGTGTTTAAGATTGTAAAGAAAGTCTCTCTCAGTCTCTTTATCTGCCTCTGTATCTCTCTCTCACACGTTCATATTGAGGGGTCTCATCTCATGTGTCCCCTGACTGGCACCAGTCGCAGGTTTCCTGGCCCGTCTCTCACTCTTGGATGAAGTTAGGTCATCGAGCCTCCAACCGCAACACACACGCCAAATGTTCTTATTTGACATCATCTGAAAAGATTTCCGTGATCCCTAAAATAATGTGCAACAAATGAGCTCTCTGTCTGTTACACTTACCTCTGGTTGCTTTGGAGCTGCTAACATTAGCTAGCACACACAGGTGAAGCACTTGCACTCCTGTTGCCTTGGACCTGGAGCTCTGCAATGCGTTCGTCACTGTTGATGAACACTTTTACTCCGCTCTAAATTTGCCCCTTTGGTACCCCTCCAACTGAACCCCTCCTGCCCTCCTCTCACCCCCACCTCACCAGCCTCAGATTCCCTCCTAACCCCATTCCACCAACACATCCCCCCACACACACATGCCCCATGCCTGTGTGTTTGTGTGTGTAAATGTGTGTGTCCGCTCGCCCAGAGAAGGGAGCGTCCAGTGACCAAGCCATGACTGGCAGCCACACAGTCACATAGCAGTTTTGCATTTAGCATTTGGATCATTCACACTTCCTGTTGGATCAATACATTTGTTGTTGTTGTTTTTTTTACCCTGCTGGGGAAAGGCCGGACAGGTAAGGAGGAGAACATTTTGGTTTGAAGAAAGCTGTGTGCTGAAGGTGCAGCTGGGCCTGTTTTGCATGTGCATGGCTGGATCCTTATGAACACAACTATAAGAAACAATCCCACTGAGATAATTTCACTGCAGGGTGAAGGAACCTGTCTGATCCAGGGTGCACGCCAGATATTTCACTTTTGTTGCACATATCTGGACCAAAGATAAACTCTAAACTTTGGCCAGCGTTGAAATTCAGTAAAGGAGCGTTCTGTGTCATGGCTTAGACGTAGCTCTGTGATAGATACTGCGCCTTGTTTTGATTGAGAAAGCAAAAGTAAAGGTAATCAGATGATCAAATGTTGTAATTCACTTGGTCAGGGGCCATAGGGTTCCTGACACTGCATGTGATTGATACTGTAGGCAGTGTTGGATTGAAGGTGGTGTATGAGTCTGAAGTCAGAAAGAAGAGGACAGCTGGGATGGTCCGTCTGGAGCTAAATTTATATGCTGTGTCATGTGTCCATGTGCCTATCTATCTATCTATCTATCTATCTATCTATCTATCTATCTATCTATCTATCTATCTATCTATCTATCTATCTATCTATCTATCTATCTATCTATCTATCTATCTATCTATCTATCTATCTATCTATCTATCTATCTATCTATCTATCTACAATTCTATTTCTATGTATATCTCCATAAATCTGTATTAATCTGTATCTCTACATCTAAAAATCTATCTATGTTTATATAAGAATCAGATCAGAATCAGAACCAGGATCAGGTTTATTGCCAAGGTTTTCACATACATACAAGGAATTTTAGTGAATAACAATAAACACAGTAGAGGAAAAGGAAAGAATACATCAAACTAACTAAAAAATAAACTATAACTCTAACTGTATCTATCTCTATTCATCTTTCTCTGTATATTTCTATACAATTCTATCTCTGTGTATCCTACCTTGATATATCTGTGAGCATGTATCCAGGATGCAAACTTTTTATATCAGAAAAATCCTTTACATTTGTTTGGGAGTTTAAAGGGTAGTGTGAAAAAAAAAAAAAAAGAAGTGTGGCAATTATATAGTCTGCAGGGTGAGGCAACACAATACATCCAGCCAAAGCTGAGTGGGTGGTAGAGTTGGGGGGGTTTGCAGTAAAGGCCTGGCATGCCTGCATGACGCTGTGTTCAGCCACTGAGCTCTGGTTGGAGGACAGAGAAATCAGGTGACCCAGTGCGGGCTAAATCGGTCCCGCTAGCAGACAAGTTGAGGAGTTAGGAGAATTGGAGAGGTGAAGGTGGAGATGGAGGGTTGAGAGGTTTTTCAGAATGACGAAATTCAAAATGGGCTCACAGCAAGTGGAGGGATTCCTCTTTTCCACTAATAGCCCCTTTACTGTACATCCCAGTAAAATCACCTTAAGAACCAAAAAGCTGGCCTAAGCGAGGAGAGGAGGTCTGTCTGTCGGTCTGTCGGTCCTCCACTTTGTTCCAGAGGCCTTTGTTGGATGGATTGCCATAAAATGTTAATGAAGCATAAGGACTTTAATGATCCCCTGACTTTTAATGTAGGGACAAAAGTTTTCACATATCCAGTAAAATATCTCAACATCTACCTGATGGATTGATCAAAAATGTTTCCAGACATTTATTGTGCCCATGTGATTAATCCTAGTCACTTTCCTCTAGCGCCATTATTAGGCAAAAAATAATAATTTGTTCATACTTTGGTTTATGACCGAATACCTGACATTCCCATCATCCTCAGCTGTACTTGGTGTTTAGTGTTACTTGGCAAAGGTTAGCCTGCTAGCATGACTGTAAACAGTGATGTTGTTAGAGGAGTGTAGAGGTTGCTATTTATGTCATTACTGGGTAAATAAGTACTTAAATTAAGCAGCCATCGCTGGCCGGTGCAACTCAAGGTAATGAACTTTTACCTCGACTTACTATGGGACATTCACTTTGGTAGTTTCGCCTACGGATGTAAAAAAAGAACACTTTATTTTATGGGTCAGTAATTTCCAATTATAATGAAATTAAATGCATTTCAATTCAAGCAGTTTAAATTAACTTCAAATTATTCCAATTTAACAGAATCCAAAGATTCTTTTAGTCTGTGTGCAGCAGCTGGATATGCAAAAATGTGAAAGCATACATTTTGATATAAATGGAGAATACATTTACAATAATAGATGAGGAATTAATGTAACATTTACTTCTACTTCTCTCTACTACTAAATGAAATGATTCTTTCCAGGAAACTGAAAATATTAGGAATTAGGAATATTAGGAACACAAAGCTTTACGACATGACTTACATTGTACAGCTGTCAGTGGAAAACCCTCGATGCTCAAAATTTAACTTTTCCAAGAGTATGTAAAACTCCCTTGTGTGCTTGCCACTGATTCAGTCACAATTTATTCTATATGGTTTAATGGTTATACCAAGTTTTTTTTTTTACTTTATTAAATGACAACAACTGAGTAATACAAAAACAGCTAACAACAACAATATATGTACGTACCACATGAAACAATAGTTCATATTTTCAATGTATGAATTTTTTTGTGTGCTTCTGACTGTCAAAACTGCCACTGGATGCGACTATCCTGCAGTGGTTGGTTGTTCCATAGATCTATCAAAGAAAAGCCCGGAGACTTATATAATGATTGCTAAGTGCTAGATTTCAACACAGTGAACTCATGAATGTGCCGCTGCTGTGCTAAATCTGTCCACAGCTGAGAGCTGCTGCTGGTTGGAGGCTTCATGGTGTTGTATGGAGGGCTGGAATTACACAGTGGGTGGTTTGTTTAAATTTAACAAGGTTTGCGGGAAGGTGCTTCTTCCTCTTTTCTCCCGGAAGCTCATCAACCAGGTTCTATGTCAGGGTTTGTGTTGCAATGTGTAGATTTGGAAATACAAGAAATTAATGTATTATACACAGTAGATGTTGTTTTTTAGAATGAATTACACATTGCAAACTAATGCAGGAAAAAGGATATTTCTATGGCAACAGCTGAAATATGAATCACCTTGCAGTGCTTTCCTCCGTCTTTCTACCCAATCATACATCCATATAGCCAGATTCCGAACACTGTACCATGTATCATAAGAGACTGAATGACAAAGTTCCCCACCGTGACTCATCCTGACTAACTCTCTCCTCTCTGCTGAGAACAGGTTGCTTGGCCTTTGAAAACACAGCAATATGCAGCTCTGAATGTTAGTGAAAGTGCAGCCATCTTCACTCTTTCCTGTGCAGCAGAACAGGTGGGATGATGAACATCGTCCCAGGAGGATATGCAGGGTTAAAAATACCAGCTATTATTCTTCATTGACACATAAACTCCAAGGTTGTGTGCCATAGGTCGAAATACTCGACACAACGTCTGTTTGTTGTGTAATGTGTAAAGTGTTGGCTGAATTAGGTCCACATTACATTGTAACAATTCATAGACCCTACAGGTGGCTTTGCTTGCCGTGTAAATCTCTTAGTACAATGTGTTTCTTAAATTATGGATGAAGATCAGCAGCCTGCAGCTTCACACAAGGTCACTTGTACTGCAGTTTATTGGGTCAGACAGGAACTACTGTACACTCACTGTGATGCCCAAAGGAGCAGAGTGGGCTTGAACTGATGCATGAAGATGCAGATGTAACTGTACTAGTTATACAGGCCTTTCTTTGGAATGTCACATCTGGTTCAGCCAGTATCATCCACCTGTAAACATGTCTTAAACATTTAAAGTTTAGGAGGATCTATTGGCATATATATATATATTGAAAGGTATGTTTTCATTAGTGTATAATCACTTGAAAATAATAACTGTGTTTTCATTACCTTAGAAGGAGCTGTTTCTAACTACAGAGGGAGTGGGTCCTCTTCTACAGAGTCCGCCATGTTTGTACAGTAGCCTAGAACAGACAAACCAAACACTGGCTTTAGATAAGACCTCTCACGTTTTTGTAGCTACCGCAGTTTCTCCTACAGGCTTGGAACAGGAGGGTGAGATGAGGGGGTCATAATCTGCAACTACACCGCTGGATGCCATTAAATCCTCCTGGTCCTTTAATTGATCATTTATATTTATATGGTCATTTAGATGATCGTTAGATTCCACAGGTGCATGACACCAGATAATCATAGTAGTGGTCATCAGTGAGGACATTGCCGTGTCTACAGTCAGTTTTTACAAATGACAGACTTATTACATTTATTGTATACAGTGAATCACACTGGTACAATCAATAAGCAGGTGTTATGTGATTGGATCAGACATCGAATTGCCACGAAAGGTTTTACCCTGAAGTTTAGTTTACTCATCACAGTAAGTGGCAGTGATCGAAAAGAGTTGTATAATGTTTTCTGTGGCTCGGGAAGAGCTTTCCAAAGTAAAAACAAATAACCCTGGTGATGTCATACTGATTTTGACCCAACTATAAAGTGGAGGCATGCTGGTCGACATGGATGTTTATCAGGTAGGATCTATTGAAAAACACTATCAAATTGAATCATGGGAAATGTAGGATCCGGTGTTTTTGCTTGACCGCTGCGTTGCTGGAGTAACGCTTTAATAGACTTTTTTCACTGCCATTTTGACTTCAAACAGTAGGGTAAACACAGGTGTTACCAATAATGCTAATCAACGCACTGGAAATTGGCTCACTGGAGACTAAATGGAACGGAACCTCAATTAGTATCATTGGTAACAGGTGTTTATCCAACTTATTTCATATCAAAATGGCTGCTGTGAAAAAGGTCTGAACATTTACTGTACCTTGATTTGACATTCTAAAACTGTGCTTGTTTGGGTCATCGTTGAACTTTGCCATCACTACCTGGATGTCTCCCTCTTATCTATTGCTTGCCAGGCAACAGATGAGTAATGCCGTGTGAATGCAGCTTGTTGCCGCTGCCATAAATCCTTTGGTTATGTAACAGAGAGACAATTGATACGAAGGGTTCAGCAGCAGCTGTTGTTTTATCAACAGCAGACTTTAACCAAGCTGCACACAGACACACAAGCACACCTGCTGGGAGTGATTATCTGAGGGGAAAACTGGATGTACACATGGATGTTGTACATGCTGCGGCTATTTTCTCTTAAGCTGCGATCCTCTAGTTTAGACAGTGTTTAGTCTGCGTTGATCTTAGCGCTGTGATCCCTATATAGCACTTACACAGACACGCTGAGAGGAACAAACTCAAATAAAGGGGGTTAAAGTCAGAGCACAGGCAAAGATCTGGTGTGAAGGAACGTTTTACCCGCCGCTGTTTGTCTGTATGTGTCTTGTTAATGGAGACACAGAGATTTATCTCAGGTCAGAGAGTCTCTGCTGTGCTCAAGAGGCGGCAGAGTTTAATTTAGCCTGGAAACCTGAACCTTAGCCTCCTCTGTCAGCTCCTTCTCTGGGCCCAGGACACAGCCAGGCAGCAGGCTGGGATTTGTGGGTGTGAAGCGATGAAAGATTACATATGCCTTCAATTAGCTGCAATACCCTATCATACTGCTAAACAAAGAGAGACCAGAAGGTGATGCATTTGTTTGCTTGGCAGTTGAAGAGTGCATATTGCAATTGCACTTATGAGGCAATACAGATCTTGTCATAGTAAGAGGTTGGGTTAGGTTGTTTGAAAACCTTGCAAACTCCAAATTTAGATTTGAATGGTCCACTCCAGACCTGAAAGTTGACATAACTGTTTAATTCTGTCAGTATGCATGTGTGTGTGTGTGTGTGTGTGTGTGTGTGTGTGTGTGTGTGTGTGTGTGTGTGTGTGTGTGTGTGTGTGTGTGTGTGTGTGTGTGTATGGTCATTCTATGTTCATAGAAGGAGGTGAGTGAATAGCAAATGGGAGATGGTGAGGTTCTGTCACAGGTTCAAATGTTACAGATCTGACTGAACGTGTGTTAATGATGATGGGATACAGGCACCTTTCAGCTGTATTGTTGCACCAATACAAAGACAAACTGGTTGAAAATTAGATTTGGATATGTTTCTTTTGTGTACTGCTGATTTTATAAGTAAGCCTCCAACAAGAAACTGTTCTCTTCACTCTCCTTCATACAAAAAGTGTATTCCATATATTATTGTTCTCTTCTCTCCAGTTAACATTTAATTGTTTAATTGCAGAGCTCAGACTTCTATATACACTTTTCGTTTCTTATCCTGTGTCAAAGTACTGAATTTATGTTGCATGGTATTTAAAGTATGTCTAGTTTTTACTTTGTTCGTCTTTGCTGGATGAGTCTGTGTTTCTTGTGTGTATGTGGTTTATGACAGGATCAAATTAAACCAACCATCTGGTGTTCCCTCTGTTCGAATGGGTTTTTGCTCTCACAGGGATTTCCCAGAGAATAAAAGACACAAGCATTTTCCTATACTATGCCTATTCAGCTCAGTACTGCAGCATTTAAGAAGGGATAGACTGTGGTCACAGCAGGATTTCCACAGCTGTTCATGTATTTCGTGAATATTTTTAGCGCTGCACCCAGTTCAGTGATGGACAAGTGCAGGAAAGTCTACTATCATTTTGCAGGCTTCAAATTTATGATTTCTGCCACTCAGTGTGTAGTCCACATTCACCCTGGAGAGAATATGGACGAGAACTGCAAGAAGCAACAGCTTTATGCTGCTTGATATTTAATGTATTCATCTTTGAAACAAAATGCAGTTTGTCAATCGAATATCAGCCTTTTTAAAGAGCCCAGTCATACTGTCCCTCACCACATGCCTTGGAGGAGATGCAAATCTGAAGCTAACTGTCTAACACATGGTCATGGCTGCAACAGAATAAAGCTGTAGTCTTGCCAAGTTTCCTGAGTTCTTAGTTTCCTGTTAACCTTAAAATCTATAAACATGCACTATACAGTTATGTTAGTTAATGTGCCTTTCAGTGTTTCCACTGGGTCCCACTAGCATTTTGTTAACAATGGATCTCAAGCCTGTTAGATCACCAGACACTGTATCTCAGCTAGCATAGTGCGTACTGTGGCACTATATGAGTGTGCGATGGGATACTGTTTTGTCTGATTTTGCACATGCACATAAGTTATTTTTGAATTTGAGCAGACACAAATATATCCTGTTTCTATATTGTTCACATTATGGCATCATTCTAAGTTTCCTTGGACACTTGCTCAAATGAAATTTCAACCATGTGTGGCCACAGTACTTCATCCAATTACCATTCTCCTTCTTTCTAGTAACCAATAATTCCACTAACACTCAAAACAGCCAACCAGAAATGACCTATTCCAGTCTTCTGATTGGCTGAAATTTAAGGCTGTGATACACTCTGTGATATGTTGTACTTGACTGCTTTATACTTTTCACTCAGTGAATGCTTGCAATGTATGCTCTTTCTCAGGGTCTACCTGCACCACACCTGTTCACTTTCATAAACAACATTCACCCATAGCAGGGTGTCTGTGGAGTCTTGAATCCCATGCTCGAGGGTACCTTCGTAGTATTTGTAGGTAGCAGGAGAGAACATTTTACTTCTCTAAGATTGTCCTATCTTATATATACGTATAAATGCATGTAACTGTCTTTCTTCACTGTACAGAATACTCCTGGATGCTACTTCCCAACATTACTAACACTTTTCACCTTTGCAGTTAAAAAAAACCAAAACATTAGAATCCAAAGAGGGATTTTGCTGACCATGCATGCTCTCAGAACCCTGCCTATTATTCATACAATGAAACATATTCACACCTGGGTGTCACAACTTTTTAAAATGCCGTGATAAAAGCTGTGGTAGGAGGGAGTGAACATATCTGACACTCTGCTTCTGTCTCTGTAGAGTAAAACATCCTCTGGCACTGCCTCCTGGAACGCCTGAAACATGGCACAGTGAGTTAGACCTGCACCCACACACACACACACGCACACACACACACACACACACACACACACACACACACACACACACACACACACACAAAACAAAAACAAAAGTAATTTCCAATGTGCTCAAAATATCAGTAGCCTTTTTTAATGAACTTTAGAATAACAAATCTCCCAGACTGCGTATGTGGGTGTTAGCAAGTGAAGTGTGCAAGAAAACAATGAAGAACAGAAACTAGAGCTGCAACGATTAGTCAGTGAATTGATTAGTTGTCAACTATTAACTCAATCAGCAACAATTTTGATAATCAATACATCATTTTGATCAAAATTCTCTTATTTCAGCTTCTTAAATGTGAATATTGTCTGGTTTCTTTAGTCCTCTATAACAAAACAAGACATTCGAGGACGTCACTTTCTCAGATTTTCTGACATTTTATGGACCAAGCAACTAATCGATTATTGTGGAAAAAGACCGACAGATTAATTGGTAAAGAGACTAATTGTCAGTTGCAGCTCTAACAGAAACATAATCACTTCCTAATCATTGCTGATATGTATTATGTGCTGACATGTGACCGTGCAGCGTCCAGAGGGTGCAGAAGAAGACCAGCACCATGTCTCTGACCATCTCCTCTTCCTCCTCTGCGTCCTCCTCTCGAGAGCGCTCCTCCGGCTCCTCCAGCTCCTCCTCCTCCACCCTACTCGCTCAGAGACACTCCAGCCTGGTTCAGCCGCTGTGTGTCAGCCCTCAGAGGGTAACTACATCCAATTCATAAATCATAGACAGACATGAGCATTGAATAGATTGAACTCACATTTGTAAATTAAACTCATGGGGAGGTAAAAATGATTTTACCTTGAACTCTGGATGTGTTTCCAGACTCAGAGTCCCATCTATCAGCAGTATTCAGGGAATGGAGTGGCCCCTACTTTTGTTAAGGTAAAACACATTTACATATTATTTATTACATTACATATTACATGCAAATTTGTAGGGATCAAAATGATGAAATCATGATACAAATGAAAGATTACATATGCCCTAGACTGGCCTTTCTCTATCTCTTTTCTCTGTCAGTGCCTCCATGATGTGTCCACAGTGAAGGGTCAGTTGGTGGTCCTCGAGTGCAGACTGAGGGGGACTCCTCCCCTGCAGGTCATGTGGTACAGAGAGGATGAACAAGTGCTGGACTCTGATGATTTTAGGATACTGCGCAAGAGTGAGTGTGTTCCTTGCAAAGACTGCAGTGAGCTGGAGTCATATGAGTTGGTTGGGAGTTATTAATTTGACTTCAAATTCCATTTACAGGAACCAAATCAAAAGTCTGTTATTCTAATAATGTATGAACCTCAACTTCATCAAAGACTTTACTGTAGCCCACTGCTGAAGAATCTAACAAAATCTAAATATTCTGCTTTAGACGAGTAGGTTTTAGAGTTAATGGCAGACACTGGCTCAGATTCGATACATTGTAGAGATGTTGTTGTAAAAGTTAACTTTTTCTCACCTGATATGCCTTTAAATATTAACTCTGGACTCTAAATATAGTGTTAATTAAGATTTATGAAGCTGTATAAATAAATAACTTCAACATCATATTACAATCGGCTCCTTATCTGGCAGTATTATTACATGAAAGTATGATGTATCCATTCATTGTATCCATCAGATGAGTAGCAGTTTGGATTTATGTATGGTGATGAGTTCACTTCAATGACTTTTCACTCTTCTTGTTTTCTCAGAGGCCAGCTCTGCATCGGTGCCAGGTAAGTACAGAATACTGCATCTATAATAATGGTTTTAAAGAAGTGGGGATACAAGATCAAGAAAAAATATCTGATACAGAAAATTATTAATATCTTTTTACTTTTCTTTCAGTTTTAGTTTTACTAACTGCTTTCACCTCTTTAGTCCTCTCATAATCTTCATAAGGAAACAAATCCTACAGTAAAAATCACTCAACTCATGCAAGTCCTACTGTCCTTTTACAGTAAATCTGTCTTTCATGTATAAAAAACATATTCTCAATCTATTTATACCAATAGAGAGCATAGTGAGTTATTAACACATATTATAATTGTAATAGAATATGATATTATTGATACTGAAAACAGTGCTTGACACACACCATATGGAAACAATCATTACAATTATCATGTAATCATGGGAGATTTTGTAACAGCTTTATAGTGAATCGTGTCAAGGAATATGGGACAAAATAAACATTGGTAAATGTAACATACAATTGTTTAGTGAATGCTTGGCTTTCTTGGGCCACAAACTATCCAAAGTCTTTATGACACTGGAAGCAAACATTCATACTAACACACCACATCAGTTAGTGAGCGTAGGCACTTCACTTAGTCTGAAAATATGCGTAAGATAAGATAGCTCTTTATTGATCCCTGGAGGGAAATTCAGGTGTTGCAGTAGCATGGTTGGATTTGTTTTTGTTTGATCTTGTGACACTGAAACGCTTTATGTTTTTGTGCTGCCCTCTACAGAGGAGCTGTGTACACTGGTGATCACAGAGGCCTTTCCAGAAGACTCTGGTCTGTTTAAATGTGTGGCCCACAACTCTTTCGGCACAATTTCCTGCTCTGCAATCCTGGACGTTTACAACGGTGAGATATATAGATTATTGCAATGTATCTACTCCTTTAATAATAATGCATTTTATTTAAAAAGCGCTTTTCTGAATACTCAAAGACACTGTACAATGTAATATAAGTTTACGTGTCGATCTGTATTGCAATGAAAGTGGTCAGTCTTGCATTTAGAGTTGCTCATCTCTTGCTTTGCACCCATTGCAGACATTGAGGAGCAGCTGGAGATCGAGGCCGAGCATCAGCAGGAAGCAGTTTCTTTCAGACAGGAGAAGGAGGCGGCGTTCCAACAGGAGGCCTCCTCGTACAGACAGAGCAGCGAGGACTTTTCCTCTGAGCTGCCTGACTGCATGAACCTCCCTCCTCCTGAGTGGCCCGAGAGCCCTCCAGAAGATAACATCCCTTTTGCAGAGTGAGTAGACGGTACACACACACACACACACACACACACACACACACACACACACACACAGAACACACACGTCACGACTCACTACAGTCAATATAAATAGTATAACTCTGACCTCTGTATATATGCACACACCATTACTTTAAACAAGTAATGCACTCCTTATATTATGGTGATATTCAGTGTATATGATATCAAATGGTTTAAAGTAAAATAAATAAATTAAAAAATAAAAACAACAACAAACAAAAGGTTTTTTTACACCAATAATTTCTCACATGCAGGAATGACCTCTGACCTCTGACCCTTGACCTTATTCGTTTAGTTACTTGAAACACAGTTGATGTAGGAGTTGAAGCTTCTTCTTCAACTTGCAGTGCTTCAACAAGACGTTCAAACCTTAAATTGTTAAGTAAAAATTCTGATTTAATAAAAAGTTTGAAACACAATTTATTCTTTCAGTCTGTGGAAAAGACATAAACGTTCAATTCAGTTCAGTTCAGTCACTTTATTATCCCAGATGGGAAACTTGACTTGCAGTCAGGGGTTCATACATAAAACAGCTAAAGACAAAAAACAAAAGTACCAAAGACAAAAATGCAAAAATACAATATACAGTAATACAACTACAATAATGCTAATGCAAGATGTTACAATTACATGTTTGTATTCATTTATTCTATTTATCTCTTAATTCACTCACTCATTTACCAATTTCATTGTAACAATGTAGTGAAAATGTGCTTCAAGTAAATTGTTTAGGAATAAACATTTCACGTCTGTTGGAATTATTGTAGTTTCTCTTTATATCCAGACGAGGTCGCTGTTGCCCTATTCTAAAATAGTAGTACAAGCATGGACTGTCTATAAGAGTGCAAGGCAATTTTCAAGTCCAGTTTTCTTTCTTTCTTTCTTTCTTTCTTTCATTTACCTAATGAGACCAAGTGAGAACTTAATGATGAAGACACTGTATAAAATATGTCCATAAATGGGGAAAGAAATGCAGCTTTTCAGAAGTAATTTCAAACAAGAATTGACTTAAAAAATACTAAAATACTGAATAAATTAAAAATAAGACATAAAGAAGATGTCTCTACTGTACCCCTGCGGTCGGGTTAGAGACCGATGGTACACACATGCTGTCAATGGCTTGGATGCAGTTGTGATGACGACACCGAGCTTTTGGGAAATTAAACCAATCAGCAGGACCCGCGCGCTCCCGCATCTCCCCTCGCGAGCGCGCGGTGTCACCTGTTGTCCAGCCTCCAGCTTCTCATCGGAGTTTGGCTTTCCTTTCCTCGCGCAGGGAAAGTTCCCTTTCATTCAGCCGACACTGAACACGGCGCGTGCAGGAGCGGGCAACCAGGTAAGGAAAGTATCCAGTGTGTGTTTGCACAGGTAGCTAATGGCTGCCCTCTCAACCTGCCGCCAACTCTCGCCATTTGGACCCGCAGTTTTGAACCTCATTGATAATAATATTTTTTTTTTTTAAAGAAAGAAACAAAGTTGACATTAATGTTTAAACAAGCTCATTTCCTTCATGGAAACGCAATATGCTGTCTCCTCTTTAAAAGGTCAAACTATGTTTAGAGCGCTTGGAAAGTGGACTTTAGTCTATTTTAGGGGTTTGTGTCACCTGGCTTGGTACCGCTTTCAAACAGCCTGGGAGGAAACGTTAGATTATTTAAGTTAACTTTTCTTAAAAACGCTCAATTTGAAATTTGCCGCATCATTTTCTCAACACCCACTTGTGTTCTAACTTTTAAAAGTGCCCTTTTTTGTGGTCAAACGTTTTTATATGTAGCAGTAAACTGCGTGGTTGTATCTGTAACTTTTGATAGGGAGATTGTAGTGTCTGACACATCTAATTTACTCGGTGATATTAACCTATGTATCGCTTTACTGTAAATCCTCTGGAGCTGCTTCAGGGGATCCACCATAAATGTGTATCTTCATTGTGCTGCTGAGTTGTGTTTGCTGCCTGTCGGACAGCCCCATACTTTAGCCAAGTGGTAGCTACAATGGGCTCATGAGCTCATCTGTAAAGTGGTAGTATAAGCTGTGTGCCCTTCAGACTCAATCCTTTATCATACATAAGAGCTCATATTGTCAGACCGTGGTTTATATTCTCAAACGTTAGGCAGCTCTGAGCAGTGGTTCCCATTTATAGATTTAATTTGAAGGTCCCATATAGATTGGCACTGCACAATATGTTTCTTTTTGTGTTTTTGTATGTGCAGGGGGAAACAACACTGTGAGGAGTTTGAAGTGACAGATTAACAAGTCTGCCAGAATGGTGCATTCATGTGCAGTCATATAGAATGGAAAAATGACATCCCTGCCGTTTTGGATATTGCACCACAACAAATTCTCAACCTATGAGATTAACACTGGTTAAAATATTCAAAAATATACCACAAAAAGTGTAGTAATATCACAACAGAAACATGCCACAGCGGAGGCGCCTGCCACAGATGCTACATGGCGAGTATTAAGTAATATTTTGTCTCTTGAGCCTTTTTATCTTTGGTGCTTCTTACAGTTCAGTTAGTCTTTAACTTGGACTTGATACTTCACATTCAAAGCCAGTGAGTGTTTAGTGGTGTGAGGTATGTTTGGCTGAGTGTAATGTGTCCACTCTATATCAAGGTCCAGGGCTATGATCTCATCTGTAATGTGAAGTGCAGACATGGCGTCTGTGTCCTTCAGACCCCCCCTCGCCTTCCTCACTGCCACAAACAACAACAGTTGTTCAGAAAGCAGCGGTCTGGACTTTAAGGTCATGTTGAGGTTCTCTGGCCAACTTGAAGCTGATGTGATTATTTTATTGATTTGATTGTTAGATCAGGAAGAGGAACTGGATTATCTGTAACGTTGGGGGGGCTTCAGTTGGTTTGGACTTTTTCCCTCCAGTAAAAATGATGTCAGATAAATGGTGAGAAGATGTATGATGGTTGGGTGCATTTACATCATAGTTAGATGTAAGAATGATTTTGTGAAGACGTTTTCCCCCCCAGTGCCTTTCTCTTAAACGCTGACTGGTTGTCACCAAAATAAAATGTCACTGTAAAACGTTCACAAGTCTTCGACTATTGAACACTACTATTTTACTAAACTATTTTAAATGAAGATAGAATGGCACAACATGTAAACAGGGAGTTATATCTTGTTTTATCAGTGTATTGCAATAATGAAGGTAAATTACTACAGCTGCACTTTGTTTAGTTGATCAGTACTGTTCTGAAAAGGTATGAAAAGGTATAAGCTTTCATTAGAAACCAGTTTAGTCTGTGATCATCAGGTAGACAGATAAATGGACCAGTGAATGAAGAAAGTGATGCTCGCTCACAATCCCTTTTACACTCACAGTTTATCTGTTTATTTTATCTCTCACCTCCCAGTGTGATCGATGTATCTCATACAGTGTTGAAGTATTTGCAGAATGCACGTTGATCCAGCACCAACTTTTATTTTCCAAAAGTTCACACAGATTCTGTAGAGCGTTCCACATTGTTGTGCCTCTGATGTTGCCGGTCATACAGAGGACTTAGGACAGCTTAGCACGCTCCTACCCATAATGCCATGCAGATCTTGTGTGTGTGTGTGTGTGTGTGTGTGTGTGTGTGTGTGTGTGTGTGTGTGTGTGTGTGTGTGTGTTAAAGGGGTTGGGTCATCAGTAAAGTGTCTGCACCTGCCAGTCGATGTCCGAATTCCAAGACCAATATAGCTTCGCCCACTAAATGACACAAATACACAAACACTCACACACAGACACACACACACACACACACACACACACACATACATACATACTGTATACCATCACACTACTAAATTACACACATATATAGTACACTTCTTTCTTTTCAGATGGTAGCATTTGAAGCACAGAAAGTACACCACATATTGATGAACACATTAAACACGCTGTCACCATGCTGGCTCACTATCATAACTTACACTACAGTATCATTAATGTTATCAGCAACCCCTGTGCTCTTTCTGATCTGACGAGTCAAAACGTCTGCTCCTGACTGACACATCAGTATCAGCGTGTATGCTGGCCAGAAAGTAACAAGACATTTCAGTACAGAATGCCAAAGATATCTTTCAGGTAATGTTACTTCATAAAACACTTAACAGGTGCTGTGGGCCTGTTTTAACATTTCCAGCTACATATATTTCATGTGGAAATCACAATTTTTTTTCACCACTCCTTCTCAAGGCTTAGTACGAAAGGGTAACATAAGTGTGTTTTAATCCAGATGCCCGACTCTAGGTCAGCTGACGCCGGCTGGCCGAAACTGTCTTGTGCCCTCAGGGGAGAGAGAGAGGGAGAGAGAGGGAGAGAGAGAGAGAGAGGGAGAGAGAGAGAGAGGGAGGGAGGGAGAGATAGAGAGAGAGAGAGAGAGAGACTGCTATTGTCATTATGCTCCTGCGTAGCCCGGACTACGTGGTAGTCATGGGAACAACATTCTTTCCTAGTAGAAAGTGGAGGACCAGCCAGGCTTGGTATTACAGGAAGAAAACTACTGAATGGGCTGAAATGGGAGCAGACCCTCTGATATCTGTTACTTTCATTAGACAGTCCCAGAGGTATGATGGCAGCCGTACTGGAACATATCTTCTCTAGTTAAAGATGTTTTATCATTTTGCTCACTGGTTGAAATATTGATCTGGATGGTAAACACCTCAGCTATTGATCGTACGTACAGGCTGCATCACATAGTTATAGTAATAGTAATATAGTATAGTAATAATCTCATGGTGAGGTGGGTAACTTTATGAACATCGGCTGGTTTAGAGTAGGGATGGGCACGAGTACTTGAGTACAGACGTCATTATCAGCGTATTGAGCAATCACATTTTTCTATATAGCAAAAATTATACATCTGCAGAGCCACATAATATTCAACATTTTCAGTCACACATCTCTTGATCTAATGTTACAGGCAGAATGGTGACCAGGCATAAGAGGGATGACAGCCTTTATACCAGCCAACTGATTGAATTATTGAAATTATTGCAACATGTTGATGTTTGTGGATTTGGTGTCTTCAATGTAGGCTAATCTCTACAGTCTGTGCAATGCAGAAAGGTTTTCATTTCATCTTCGCTTGGATGTTCTTCATTACAAACCCTATTCTTTGCATGTACTCGGGTACTTTACTTTAAAATGCCCATCCCTGCTTCAGAATCAGTGTTGTGGAGTGTGGAACATGACAACCACTGTTGTCTGTTTGCAAGTTAGCTTGTGTAACCTCGTGTCAACCTTCTTCAAAACAACTGAACAGGAACTACTACACCGAATCCATGTTGAAACTTGAACCCATGTAACTTGAATCTGTTTATCAGAAGACCTCATGTTCTCCTCCATGCAGACACTCCACTTTTACCCAGTTGGATGTTTGCACTCCTGTACTTAGGAACAATAACTGTTTAGGGACTTTGGATCTTGGGGTTTTTTCTTACAGGTAGAGCTGACACTAGGTTTGAACTGCCTGGAGATCAGGGGACTGTCACAGATAAAATCCCTTAATCTTGAGGAACTTAAAGACATTTTCATCACAACCATTAGCCATCACTCTCTCCGACTCTCTGCTGTTGAATATATTCAAACCTTTGCTAATACGTCTGTGTTATATCAGTTTTCCAGAACCTCATCCGGCCAACCACTCCTGTGAAGAACCCTTTGGGCGCAGCGAGGAGGAGAGCGCCCTGAGCTCAGAGGGCCAAAGGTCACCAGAGGTCATTGTCCGAGCCTGTACGCCCAGCCCTCCGCCTCCACCCTCACCACCACCACCAACCCACCTCAAGGAGGCGACCCAAGCAAGCAAGCTGTTCACCCCAAGCAAGATCAGTTTCAGTGTAAGAACACTTTCTTACAACGTTTGTGCTGCAACTGTTAATATCTGCCATCATACCTAACTACTGCTTTGTGTGACTGGATGTGTCAAGTTTAAAAGGTTCAGTGGGAAGGGAAAATTAAAATGTATTTAAGAGAGAAAACACCAGTTGATTGATCAAATAAATGTACACTGTATGTAGCCAAGGCAGTTTGCTATACACAGTATCTCCTGCAAGAATGTTAATTTGCTTCATCCCAGCGAAATCAAATGTGTAAAGGTTCTAAATGTCTCTTCATTGCTCTCAAAAATGGTTGAATTGCATCGTAGTCACTTTTTTGTAATTGTGTCTCTTCTGTCTTTCAGTCCTCCCAGTCAGGAGGCAACAACATGAACCTGTCAGACCTGCCTACTTTCACTCCCAGCGCCTTCCCTCCCAGCGCCTTTAACTATGAGCGACCGAGGCATTTTATTCAATCGCAGCCTTCCTTCCAGGCACCCAGCTATGAAAGTGTTCTGAGGGAAGCCCAGGAGAACCAGAATAACTCCCAACAGAACCTCAACAGTCCCCAAATTAGTCAAAATGTTATGGAGTCACAGAGTCAAGCTAAAATGATGTCTACACAAAGCCAGTCTTTTTCTCAGACTCAGTCTGTCTCCAAGTCCTTGTCGCAGACTCAGTCCCAGTTTCAGTCGCTAAGCCTCAGTCAGAACCAAACCAAGTCTGTCACCCAGACCCAGATCCAGACCCAGGCCAACGGCACCAGCAAGTCTTCTCCCTCCTCATCCAGTCTCAGCTCTCCTGTTTCCACCCCGGCCTCCTCTGCCGCACCTCCTCTTTCCTCAGCTGCCCCCTTGCTCAGTCCCTCCGACTCCACCACCTCCCCCTCCTCCCCTTTCCCGGCCTTCTCCTCCTCCCCTCTCCCTCGCACCACAATGCGTTCTACCATCACCCTCACCCCCAGCATCCCCAGTGCCACCGGCCTTGGCAGCGCCACCCTACCAGCCAACCAAGACACCATGTCGGCACCTGCTGCTTTCCTCTGCTCTGTGCTGCCCTCTCAGTCCGCCTTCTCCCCCTTCTCCTCCTCCAAGCTGTCTCCCAACTCCAACCTTCCCCACTCATCCATTTCCCCCTCCCGCTCCCCACTCGCTCCATCCAGCCCCCTCCTCCCCATGAGGGTTTCCTCTTCTCCCTCTTCCCTCCCTCAGCAGCCTCTCCCAGTGTCCCCTTCCCTCCCTCGCTCCCCTCTCTCTCCATCCTCCTCCTCTCTCACTCAGCCCAGCACTCCTAACAGTCAGAACAGAGTACCTCCTGCTGTGGTCTCCCTGCCCGCCAGCTACAAGGGGACGCCAAACATGTGAGTTAGATTCATTTGGCATGCATGTGATTTCAGACAAGTTCCCACACTTATATGTGGATGCAAAATGTATGTATTTCTGCAGAGGGAACAGATGTGTGTATGAGTTTGTGTCAAAGGGGAGAAACTCCTTGAACAGAGAAGGCACCACTTGTAGCAGTAGAAGAACTACAGTAATGTTCCAGCCTTTTTACGCTGTGTTCAGGGAAGTTTATGTACTAATGTATGTTGAGTAATTAGGTAAAAGAAAAAAAAACATTTGGTGTTTTGGACTTTATTATCTGAAATGATTTTATGTCTCCATGTTGTGTCCTTGTATTGTTTTTTTGTTTTTTTTAATGCCAATATGGACTTAAGTTAGAATGAATTGAAACACCTGTCTCTCTCTGTCCACCAGCCTTCCCAAGCCCATTCTGAAGAAGTCTGTAGCTCCTCGTCCTTCTTCCTCTCGCTCCACAGATGATGACATCCAGGGCTCCAAAGACGCCCTCATCCAGGATCTGGAAAAGAAGCTGCGCTCAAAGGAGGCCAGGAGGAGAACCAGCCAGGTGTGTGTATGTATGTGTTTGTGTGTGTTTGTGTGTGTGTGTGTCCCGCAAACTGTTGTGGAAATCAAGAATCCTACATTTCATTCATCAAAATCATCATTCCCCCATCTCACACACACACTCCCACCCATCCACACTGACACAGTGTGTGCCTGTTTGAACCTAACAGAATACATAATTGCAAAAGTGTACCAAAACAAATCACAGCACACTTTCTACGTGTGTGTGAAAAACGTCAATTTAACAGTATAAAGCTTCAATTTCGACAGAAACTGTCCTATGAGGAGCGTATGGCTCGTAGGCTGCTGGGTCCAGACAACGCCACCTACATGTTTGACCAAGACAATCTGTCAGACTCACAACTCGACCAGGTACGACAACAAACTTTGATTTAGTCAGTGGACATCATAATCATTAGAAAAATCCTTCAGCCTTCTAACAGTGTGTTTCAGATTGTACTGATGTGTGTTGCAGTGCTGAACATGCTGACATTTATGTTGGCTCTGGTCCAAAACCCATTAGCTTTCATTTTGCTATTAAGTAAAGACCACACATTATTCCCGTCATTTGGGTTTGAATAGCTGCCCGTTCCCCTCTCAGGGCCTCCTGGTGGGCTCCCGAGCACAAAGTTGAAAAAGCCTGGCAGCATAATCAGCCCCAGTGAGCGGTCTCATGCTGTCATTTTGACCAGTTGCACACTGTGTGTGTGTGTGTGTGTGTGTGTGTGTGTGTGTGTGTGTGTGTGTGTGTGTGTGTGTGTGTGTGTGTAGGATTGTTCTGTCAAAAAGCCTCTTTCTTTCTCTCTTCTTTCACACACAGCACCAACACACAACACGTGCATGTACACACACGTCCTCTGAAGCCAACAAGGTTTGTCAGAGGCTATTTCTAGCCTGCTTTCTGAGAACGAGCCCCTTTCACTGGTGACAACAGGACCATTGTGTCAGAATACACATACACACACACACACACACACACACACACACACACACACACAGTTACCCTCCTGGCATTTGGTCAATGTGTTGATCAGTACGGTAAGTTTCAAGTTCAAACCTTTGATTACCTCTGCTTACATTGATTTGCTTTCTGTTACAGCCCGAGTCACCGGAAGGAAAACACACAGGTGGACTATGGTAAATACAATTTATGTATCAGTATTGCTCATAATTATTAACCCATGATTCCAGCTTTTCCAGCGTTTCCTCTCGAGATTCCCTTCCAGCATGGCAGTATTTACTCAATCTGTGCAGTTGTAAAACAAAATCAATCTTTAATCAATCAAAATAGGTGGATGGAAAATGATAATGGTCATTTTGCTTTTCAGGTTTGTCCAGCTCATAAATATTTGACACTTTGTGTTTCTCTCCATCTGAGTGTGGTAACTGAGCCCCAAGTTGCTCTGTGGATGCACGATACTGTGTAGCCTATGTCACAGGAGCAGTCATGTAAACAGTCATTTCAGTATTTTAGTTTGAAAATCTTAATGTATAAGTGTGATATTACATTACACTGGGCTGAGACAGGTACACTAGTGGACTGTAACATTCAGCAATTGAAAGTGAGGTAAAGTGAGCTCATGAATAAATAAGCTCTCACTCTCTATGCCCCTGCAGGGGGAGGCACCACTCAGGGACAGATGAGAGGGCAAATGAGGGTGCAGCTATTCAGGAGAAATGTTACGCTCCTCGCTTCCTGCAGATCCCCTCAGACCTCACTATGGAGGAGGGACGCTTCTGTAGGATCGACTTCAAGGTGAAGCACTCACTTACTCATTAACACAAAGGGCCTCACGTATTCAAGTTTATGAATACGCTCAAGTCTGTATTAAAACAAGGTCAGGGGCTCCCTCATATCAAAATAATGGCGTGGTCATGCAAAGTTAAATAAAAGTAAAACTTCTCTCTTTTCTCAATCCAGGTCGGAGGCCTCCCTACACCAGACGTCTGCTGGTATCTGGACGGTAAAGCCATTCGTCCAGACGACTACCATAAGATGCTGGTGTGTGAAAAAGGGATGCACTCATTCATCATAGAGATCGTCACAGTGCACCATGCTGGAGTGTATGAGTGTGTGGCCAGGAACCGAGCCGGGGAGAGCAGGTTTACCATGAAGCTCGATGTATTAGGTAAAAATGTCCTTACATCCTGTTTTTAGATGTTTTTTTAAATATAATTTCACTATAGTGCACATTAATAATGATCATATTTGCTTTAGTAAATCTATGCCAGCTCTACTTTGTAAAGACCTTCTTCAGGATGGGACATAATTGAATCCCCTGTGCTATGAAACCTGTTCCTCCTCTCTGCAGCCCAGGAGGCTCTCCGTCCTCCCACCTTTGTCCAGAAGATGTTGAACTCCAGAGCTCTCGAGGGCGACACTGTTAGGTTAGAGTGTAAAGTGGACGCGTCTCCTACTCCACAGCTCTTCTGGAAGAAAGATAAAGACATGCTACGCATTGACCCAAACAGAATGAGGTGGGTCAACTAAAGTACTTCATTACACCCAAAGTCCTCCTTAACTGCACTCCACTACTACTCATCAAACTCAGATGTTATTGAAGGTACTCTCTTTTAAAGAGTTTACTTTAGAGAAGTATAACTCAATATTTCCCGTAATAGAGTCAAAGCAGCCTATTTAAGATTTGGCTCTCTGGTAGGTTTTGTGATGCCTTAAAGCACCTATAATCATTGTTGTATATTAAAGGGATTACTCATAGTGTCTAAGTAGCTGAATGGTAACAGTGCATGCCACATAACCACATATCAACAGTTCGAACCCGGCCGTGGACCCTTACTGCATGTCATACGTGTCATTCACTGTCACCACTGTCATCAGTACCTTTTGTTGGTTGGAGCAGGCAGTTGTTTTCAGAGGAGAAAAAAGCTTTAAAACCCTTCTGTACACTACATGCCCTGCACCAAATGACAGGAAAACAGTTATTAACTAGCTTTACTGGCTAATTAGCTTTTAGCAACAAAATAGCCAGATATTTCCATTAGGAGTTGGTATAGACAAAACACAGAGCTAGAAGAATGAAAGAGTGATTGGACTTAAAGTTAATCAGATCAGCTGAAACCCGATTCCAAATGAATGCTAAAGTTTCTCCGTGAGTGCTGGATGTGTTAAATAAGCACCTGTTTGATGATAATATGTCAGTAATGTGTTCACAACTTGTTTCTGCTGCCCCCAAGTGGCCAAAAAATCAGTTATTGAAGATTTACTGATTGAAGATTTGTACATTTTTTATTAGTGTTTCACACAATAATATTTATGTTTTTAAACTGATCTGAACAGAAGAAATAGGCCTGTGTGCCATAAAAATATCTCAATGGAAGGGTCAGAAGGAAATGAATAGAAAACAGCACCTATACACAGCTTCTGTCTCTAGTTCTACTGGACAATTTGCAAAATAAACTAAATGGTTTACATATGGAAATATATTCAATGAATTATGCACTGTTTCATTTCTTATTTTTTGTGTTTCTTTTTATATTGTGCATGTGTATTTGTTCTTCTGAATGCATCAGGACACTTTGGCCACCAAACGCTAACGGATGATGAAATGAACGTTTGAATGTCTCTTTGTTTCTCCGCAGTCTGTATCAGGACGGTTCAGGCCGGCAGTGCTTGTTGATAGAGCGGGTGATAAAGTCAGATGCTGGTTGGTACACTCTGTCTGCCATTAATGAAGCTGGCATGTCCACATGCAACGCCAGGCTGGATGTAGGCAGTAAGTCCACTGTGTGTTTATCTTCTGATGCAAATTTGCTTTAAAGGGCCCATCTCCGCTATCTGTTGTACGAGATAGCCCGGTAGTTACCATAGTAGCCCAGGCTGTAAAATCAAACAGCAGATGGAGAATGATGCGCGCTCAACGCTACAGTGAATCCAGCTCTACAGCCTGGAGCACGTCAAACAAATGCTGTGTTATGTGATCGAGCAGAAACTTGATGAACTCATGAGGCGTGGAGCCGTTCGGCTTTCCTCAAGAATACAGCTTAATCACCGAGTCAGAGAGATAAGTATGGAGTCCATCCACTGATGAGGGAGAGCTCAGCGGAGGAAAATACAGCACAGCTATTAGGTTTCTGCTCGATCACATAACACACCATCTGCTCTGTGGAGAGGGAGCTGAGTGACAAAGAAAAACTACCTGACCCTCTGTCACACCTGAGCTGGACTGTAGATCTTATTAGCAAAACTGAAAGTGAGTTTAGACCACTTTATCTGAACCAGGACTCAGTGGAGACATTGCAGTTGGACAGGACCTCATAACAGTGCAACAAAGAGGTTTCACAGGCCTTATCAAGGACGTAGTTAGATAGTTAATGTACCAGCATCAAGCATCAGCAGGGTGAACAGCCATACAATTCACAGCGAAGGAAAACAGCAAAGTGGGACCTTATTGTGCCACAGTAGTACAGGTACGGATGATAGAGACCGGAAAACATGGTTCAGATATTTAAGTTTTGGATGAAATGCTGTGGATTTGTTGCTCTGCTAATGAAATACATTTTGAACACAGAACTGTGCTCAACTATACACTGGTGTGAAACTATAATCACTGACAGCGTCAAAATGTATTGTACTGAATAAATAGTACAATACAATATTGTATACAGAGCATTATTATTCAGTTCAATTCATTTCAGGCTATAGGTTCATAGACACAAAAAGTAGAGTTGAAAAAAAAATACATCACCCTAGAAAATGTTTCAAAATCCTTAAACAAGTAAAGGCAGAATGAGCTGTTTTGTAAAGACGCTATTCAAAGTTGGGGAGAGAGAGAGAGGGAGAGCGAGAGAGAGAGAATTTAATATTTGTACATTTTGAGTGTTGATTGATTACAGTTGATTTGCAGTGACAACTATACACACACGCAGTATAACTATAAGCAATGATTAACCCCAGCAGACAGGTACACACATACAACACATCAGGCCCCAGATGCGTGAAGATCTCTAGTTAATCATATTGAGTTTGAAAACAGAAGGTGAAACATGTTGAGCCGTGGACCCATTGTCTGTTCCATACCTGACCCTGAGCCATACTGTCCCGCACTATGGCGAGCAGGGGCAGGAGAGTTATTTTCAGACACCTGGCATGAAAGGAATGTTTAGGCTGAGTCGTCCCCCTGTTGGTGACACCAGTGGTATTATTCATACTATTAATATAGATAAACGCGCCATCTGCATCTGTAAAACAGCACTACAGCCCCACTCTGCAGGAAGCACACAGTTTTATGTATGTAAGTCAACTGCACATTGTTTTTGGATTTCACTTCAAATAAGTAAGACGTAGCCTGATGGATTTGGGGACTGATACCGATTTTAGATTGCTGATGTGATGGCCCATATAGCGGAATGAAAAGCCCCTTTCTATGTGGACTGTGCAAAAGTACTGTTTTCTTAAACAAATAACTTTATAAAAAATATTTCAGTTAATTATTCTTAAGAATGTTAAATATAATAGTACTCTGTGCTGCTTGTCACAGTATTGTAAGTCACAGCGCACTCTGCTGGATAAACTTTGCAGTGGCTGTGCAGTACATATGTAATACGAGTATATTACCGAAAGCATTTTTTTTATATATAGAACAAAACAGTTTTCACACACACTTAAGATTGCTTACAGGTAGTGTCATACTGCAGTGAATAATAATAGTGTTGTTAATAATTATTGTTCCTAGCCTACTTCTGATAAAAAATATTCCAGTCCAAATGAGGTTTTACACATTTAAAACTAATTAAAGAACAAAACAATCAAAAAAGCATATGAATCCATCACTCCTTTCTCTCTGTCCCTTCGCAGCTCGCACAGCCCCGCCCATGAAAACGGCGCCCCCTGGCTCAAAGACGCTGAAGCTGCTGTCCTCTCTGAGCCATGTTCCTTCTCTGACTGTGGAGAGCCCCGCCCAGCACACCGCCCCGCTGTACGAGAGTGAAGAGCTGTAGACCCACTCTGAACCCCCCCCACCCCCGTCACATCCTCAGATCACTACCACGCATCTCAGAACTGTCAAACCGGGCCGGAGAAACTGTATCAGCTGTCACCCAGAGGCAGATATAGTACTAATGCTCGAGCTTTGGTTCAGAATACAACGTTACGGCGCCGCAGCAGACGAGGACACATTTCAGAATGCTTCTGAGGCCGAGTTAGGTCAGGTTAATCAAACAACCAACGTTCTGGTTGTATTATTGTACGAGGCCGAGTAACAGAACAGTTTTATTTCAAATTTCTTGAAGACATTTTGCCCAATTTTTAAGATTAGGGTACAGTTTGTGACAATCTCTAAAAGAAACTGTGATACGGCATTTAAGATTTTTTTCCTCCATCCATTAGATGTGTGTTTTAAAATACTTGGAGGACACAGCCCTAACCATAAGGAGCACTTGGTCGCCTCATGTTGTCCATCTGCCGCTGTTTGTCACTGCTGTGCCTGTCCTTTCCCTGTTGTTTAAGGCTGCAGAGCTCATGTTTGATACATGCCTGTAAGCCTGTCTGCTCTGCCCGTCTGTCCAGTCTGCTCTCAGTAAAATGGTTTGTCTCGGTCATGGATGTATTAATAGTCCTGGATACGGTGTGGCAGAGTCAGCCCCGCTGCCAGTTTTATCCCAGCAGCCAACCACAACACTGCGCTCCACAACCCGTTTTCCCCAGTGTACACGCTTCCTTTAAATTCTTTAAAAACAGTTTCCAGCTAATCTAGGTTAGAAAGGAGGAAGCAACCTAGATTAACTACAGTACCCACAATCCTACACAGCCAACATCTATCACTGCACTTTAATTCTGGCACCTGTCCGCCTCCTCCAGCACCTGCTCTTTCTTTTCCTCCAGCTTGTAACTGAACGAGGATACATTTGTGTTTGAGCCTCCGAATTTAAGTTTTTGTCCCAGCTGCTGTTGCCTCTGATGATGCGTGTCTGTAAAGCTCCATTAACTGGAACAGAAAATCCGATTTTAAACTGACCCCCCCCTCCCCTCGCCCCTCCTGGTTTAGATGCCACAACTGGTTACTGCTCAGATTTTCTTCTGTGGTATAAATTCAGCTATATGTGTTTTTAAAGTTGGTTTCTGATATACGGTGTACGCGAATTAAGCTATTTATTTGAACTGAAGTTATTAGTTATCAGTGTCGGGTTGCCCCTCTCTTGGCCTGAGAAAGGCTGCAAGCAGAGGTGTACAATATCCACGAGTTAGACAGGCTGACCTCCTGATACCCAGCCTCTACTACTGAACCAAAACCTGACCTGCACTCAAACCAACACTCAGTCCTAACTTATTAAGAAAAGTTTACATTTTTCCAAATCTGCAGTGCAGATAAGACGTTTTTAAATTTTACTCAAGAGGAGAAACATTTTTCTCTCCTTCAATGCATGTATGCATCATTAATTCAGTATGTTCAGTTGGAAAATAGGTATCAGTATGTCAGCCTGTGCCCAAACTCTCCATTTCTGACCAGAGCCTTCCAGAAAAAAATCTACCGAGGCTTGGTTTGCCTGCTTACCTTGAAACTGCTTGTTGTTACTGCCAGACACAAACTAATTTCACAAAAATCTGGGATTTTTAGCTGGATCTGCATGCAAACTGAAAATCTGGTATTTAACCCTGTGTGGCCACAGCTCGGTCGGCCCATAAACTCTGAGACTAAGGTCACAAGATGAAATTCTTGTGGTTTATATGCAGAATATTTTGGCTGCATTTGAACAGGAACATTTAAACTGCCTTTCACTGGTTTTACACTGTAGTATTTCTACAGTTTGTCACGTTGTTTGGATCAATAAGGGTTAAACATTGGATTTGCTTGAAGCACCAGAATAGAGATGGTAAGTTAGGTCCTTTCTGTTGAGATTTGAAACAGCAGGTATTCGTGTGAAGTACTGTTTGTTGTGTAAGAACTTCTACATATCACTGGATGAATGAGGAATAAAGTTTATGTGACCTTAGCTTTACCTCCCAGTGTGTATTTTCTTTTGTTTTTCTTTTCTTAAGTTGAGTGTGTTCTGGTGTTTGGAGAGATGCCTTCTCAAGTGTCTCTGAGCAAGACCCAGACCACTCTTTTAAAATACCCGGCACCATGTCTCCCCCTGGTGACGGCATTCAGAACTTGCTGATGGAGCTCAGCCTTTAAAGTACTTTCATATTGCATACACACAGCTGATTCAATCAGTTCTTTTTTTATTAAAAACAAAAGTAGACAACAATATCAAAAAAATCACATAAAACCTGTTTCTGGCTAAAAGAGGACTGGACGTGTCCGATGGTAGAAAGCATTTCTGTTGACAGTCATGTACATCTATAATGATTCTGTTAATAAAGATGCACAGTGAAGGACCAGGACTCTAATCCCTGATACCTGCTTAGGTACAAAATGTTTTACCTACCACCCTCACCACCGTGGTCCTCCTCTACACGATGTACACTCACAGTTGATACATTTATACGTATATATACAGTAACGAGCAGAAGAAACAGAAGAAGAGAGAAAGGAATGAAAATACAGGAGGAGAATTCCTGTTCGGATCAGCCTCGTTTACAGATGTTCGTTTACAGAAATCCAAACCAATGCCAAGTTCAAACTGTTGAATCGTTGATATGAAAGTGCCCAGCTCTACACCAGCGCTCGGCTTCTCAGAGCTGTAAGGCACGTGAATAATGCTAGAAAAAAAAATGGAAAACCCATCCTGACGGCTACAATGACGGAAAAAAAAAAAAAAGATGGTTGGAATAATTTGCACCATTGTGATTCTGTATCAAACAGTTAAAGCGTGGTTTTAAACATCTGAACTGGCTAATGTGTGACTAATGGACCCTGGCAGGCACTTGAACAGCTTCTCACACGCATGTGAATAAATCAAAAACTCCCCGTGTCTATTCCATGACACCTGGTGGAAACTGCTTTTTGTTTTCATGAAGTGCCTTCACACACACGCTGGATGTCACACAGGGCTCCAAACTAACTGCTCTTAAATCTCAGGGGGGGTTGACTGAACGGAAATTTAGGATGCTCAAAACTCTTTGTGACACTTTGGACGTGTGGAAAACAAACATTGCTCAGGCCTAAATCCAAACTTTGATTACAATACTTCCTCTTCAAAAGTTAAATACATTTCATTACTAAGATAACATAAACAAGATAACGAGTGGAAAGAAAAAATTACAATAAAATGCTATTATCAGAATCTAGACAAGTTTGTTTGGAGTCTTGATTCTAGTGGACGCTGCTTAATAATTTGGGCTCTTCCTGTCTATTACAATATTCACCAGAAGCAGGAATACTGCTGCGAGTGGAGGTGTGGAGCTCTGTGACATTATATACAAGGCTCTGAGGGTGGAACAGCCAGGTGAAGGGCGGCTGATTGAGGACGTTTAAGAAGGGGAACCTACAGAGAAAAAGAGCAGAGCTTGAGAGTCTTCAGTCCTTCCAGACGTTACTATGAGTTTCTGTTAGATGTGCAGTGGAGACGTGGTGTTTGGAGAGCTCCACTTCTCTCATTATCAAATTTCCACGTCACTCTCTTTGTCGTTGTCGTGGTCGCCGTCGTAGAACTCGTTGGCTGCCTCCGGCCTGAGGAAACAACATTGTGGTCAGCCAGTTAGACACAGCAACAACGCACACATTCAAAACTAGGGACGCATAATAATTATCAGCCCATAATAATAAATAATAACTCATTTTTAAAACATACAAATGTTCAATTATCAGTTATGGGATCAGCTGGAAAATATCCATACCGTCCATTCATTTAAAAAGTTTAAGTGTACTGACCTGGTGTAGTTTTCCTCGCCCCCCCTCTCATCAGGGTCAGGCTCATCGTTGCGTTCGTAGCTCAGCATGTCGGAGGGAACATCGTGGATCTGGACGCTGGGCGCGTGGTTCAACATCTTCAGGTTCTCGAACACCGTCTGACGGATTTGCTCCAAGTACTGCAACGGCACAGGCACTGGTTACAGAGACTGCACTTGTGTGATGTATCTTTATGTCCTCAGCAGACAACAGCACCATTAAAGCACTTTAAATATAAATAATGCATCTCAACAAAGACACTTTCTCCTGTCCTGCTGACTCTCTGGAGTACTGTTAATTTAGCTGATGAGAACTCTGACTAAATATGTTCGTCATTAAACGCTAACTGTGACTATATCGACATGCAATATTGTTAACAAAAAAAGGGGACATTATGTAGTATCACAATCACACAATGAGCAGCCAGAAAAGCACAAAAAAAACGAATGCGTTGCTTTATCAGAGGTGAAGCAATGTGTCAATAGATGGTAGAAAATCACAAACCTGAATTGACACATTAACGCTCAACACAAATATTCTGAGGGAGGTTGGTTTTTTTGAGACTGTATTAAGCTAGTGAGGCGGTGGTGTTACTGTATGAAGGCTGTGGATCATTCAACCTGTGCTGTTTATCAGATAATAATAAAATCTTATGTGAAATGAATTTGATTAAAATGACTGAAATGTTCAGTATAATCTCACAACAAAAAAGACAGTTTTTATGGATTAAAACTACACTAAAATAGTAACAAATACCCAGACGTGTAGTCAACTAAAACCTGACTAAATATTAAAGGTAGACCAATTCATCCGTCGGCCGATAATCTGGCATTTGGAGATAATCAGCATCGATACCCGCGCTCACAGGGCCGATAAATGTAGGTAGAAGTTAGAGCTCCCCCTTTGTGAGTTTTAGGAAGGTGGTGAAAAATACACGTTCTGAAATCTACAACATAACCCAATGTATGTTTATATATCATTACTTAATAACAACCCCTTCTATAATAACGTGTTACTGGATAAGATGTAAATGAGATTACTTTGCTTTGTTTTGATATCGGCATTATATATCGACTACTACTAAATATGATAAAAACTAAGGACATTTGACACAGGACTAAAACTAAAACAACATTTTTTAAAATAGCTAACAGAATGGACACTGGAGTGCTTTCTAACTAGTAAGAGTGTGGGACGGTGTTTCACCTGTCTGGAGTTCTGGTTTTCTATCCTGGTGCTGACATCGGGGTGCAGCGTGAAGTCTGGAGCAAAGTACTCAAAATACTCTGCAGAGGAGGACAAGAGGAGGATTCAGACTTCACACAGGCTTTCTGTTTCAACTGCATGTGAAATATTATTTCCACTGAATTCTCCCTCCGAAACTGTACTCAGATGGACACTCTGCTTCCGACAGATGGCACTAAACGTAGAAAATGCTCAAATGTAATCTGTACTCTTCTCAGACCCACAAAAACATAACAGGACTCTGATACAGAAGCCATTTTGAGCAACAAGAAAACAACAAGTCATTGAGGTGAAGTAACTGAACACCATTACTCACCGCTATAAGGGAGCTCATCACTGATGGATTCATCCAATAACAGAGAAGTCTCAAAGGTCCTACAGGAGAACAAAACACCCATCATCTTAAATACCAAAGCCCAAATATCAAACGCAGCACACAGAACCACCATTACCTCTTTACCATTAACCCCACGTTGTGTGTATGAAAGCAGACCTGTGTGTGTGTGTGTGTGTGTGTGTGTATGTGTGTGTCAGACTTACCAGCAGCGAGCCACGTTCCTCACTGTGTATCCTCCTCCTCCCAGGACCAACAGAGGAATCTTAAAACTCTTCACAAACTCCACACACTCACTGAGAGACAGAGAGCAAAACATACACACATTAATGCACACGTTAAATCCTTAGTACATGACCTAAGGGTAATGTGTTGGCCCTGAGCATACTGTAGATGTATGAGCTGTAAAGGAGAGTGTCTAAAGGAGTCAAATCACTTCACTGTTTACAAAGACAACACAAATAAAGATTCTAACACTGTTAATCAGAGAGAGAGAAAAGAGGAGTGATTTGGTTACGGTGTGAGCTGGGTCTGAGTTTCCAGTATCACCAGAGCTGATTCAGTGTGCTAGATCACTATGGTACCAAACATCACCATGGTAACGCGTACTGCATGGATAACCTACTCCGGAGCAGGTAAACTTCAGAGGATTAGATCAAAACCATTAAAAAGCTTGACTACTGGCCAATGAGTTCACTGTTCCTACAGGAACCCGGCACGTTCTGTTCATCCACTCTGGTTCTAAAACACAGCTTCTAACAAACTGAGGGATAGTTAACGACACTTAAATGACAATGAAAGCTGCATTTTAATTACATAAAGGTTGTTTTATTCCCAATGACATTCCTGGCAGGGTTGATTTACACTGTTAATCCATCACTGCGACTTTGTTATAATTGGAAATAAAAAGTGCGCGCTCTGTTGACTTTTATTAGAAAAATAATCCACACACTATTAATTAGCTCCAGGGATTATAAATGCAACATTTTGGTCAGATAGACCTCATCAACTACTTTTCTTCTCCTCTCTGCTTTGAAGGCAGAAACAGGAACTTTTTTTATGTGCATCAAATATTCAGAGTAGGTTTGTTCATCAGACAAATTCACAACTAATTCACAACTCCCCCCACATTAACTTGCTCATAGCTGGGCAACCCAGAGTTAACAGACGCAGTTAATAACCAGCTTTTTGATCCCGGTTATCCAGGATCACCAAAGTGAGCCCGAGAGAGCCAGACTAGGTTGAACCCCAGATCAAAACCAGGAGCTGGCGGATACACCTCACTTTAAGGAGGAAAGAGCAATTTAAAATAAGTCTCACCCATGTCCTCGTATACTGAGGTTGAAGCAGCCCAGTCGGTCACAGCCCAGAGAATCTGCTCCACACTGGAATGAGAACAACACGCACACAGCATTACAATGTGTCAGCAATCATCCTACAATTACACACAGCCTATAATCTGTTAATGAGACGTATTTACTTTATCTGACCCTGATCACAGTGAAACAGAAGCATCTGCTGTTCTCACACACACACACACACACACACACACACACACACAGACTAAATGATTATTTAGCTGAGATAACAAGTGTAAATTAAACAGATGAAAACAACATCACAGATCCAGAATTGCTCACTGACCTGTAGAACGATGCAGGTCGGCTGGTAGAAGTCCACCACCTGTTTAATAACCGGCTGGAACAGCTGCCTGTAGCCTGACACACACACACACACACACACACACACACACACACAGATGTTGGCAGTGGCTCACATGATGACAGGTTCACAGCAGTATGAATCATCAGAGCTGCTGACACACTCCGCAGTAATAACACAGCTTTATGGGTTAGTCCATACAATGTGTTATACATTTCACTAATGAACTGTGAGTAGGAGGTGAACTCACTCTGGTCATCGATGCCGTCTCTGAGAGGAACATTGAGGCAGTAGTACCGGCCGCTCTCTGCTCCCACCTCGTACATGTCACCTGCAGCGAACACACACACACACACGCTGTATTAACACACACCTGTACAGAGGTAACACAGCAATAACCTAGTGTATTAAAGGACCAGTGGGTAGGATTTAGCCAACTGAAACTGCTCCCCTCACAATCTATGGTGGCTCTCTAGAGCCAGAGTTTGGTTTGGTCCATGAAGAGGACCCGCTCCCTCTGTAGATACAAACAGCTCATTCTAAGGTAACAAAAACACAACTATTCCTTTTTTCAGGTGATTATACACTAATGAAAACATATTTATGAATATTATATTCCATTTCAGCCAATAGATCCTCCTAAATGTTACACACTGGACCTTTAAAGCAGCTCAGATTGCATCATTTTAAAAGTGTTAAACGAATCAGAGCTGATATCAGTCACTCTACGAAATGTCATCTCAATTTTTAAAGCTTAATGATGCTGAAATGTTTTGTTTATTTGTTTTTTTTTTTAATGAAACTTGCACTACAAATATGTTTAAGACTCACTATTATATAGTTGTCAGTTGCAAACATCCGACATTCAAAAAGAAATGATGACCAATTATCTGTCTGTGTGCTGTTCTTCTAAGGCAAGATAAAATGTCCATGCAGATGAATGGTTCTTTCACAGTCTGTGTATAAATATCCAGAATATCCATCCAAAAGATTAGATGCTTAACGCAGCTCGTACCTGTTCCTGGAAAAAAGTAGTTCCCGTATTTGTGGAAGGACACAGTCATGACGCGGTCAGTCAGGTAAAAGGCTTCCTGTACGCCGTCACCATGGTGAATGTCGATGTCGATGTAGAGAACCCTCGGGTGGTATCTGTCACACACACACACACACACACACACACACACACACACACACACACACACACACACACACACAGACAGTTATAAAGAGAGAAACAAACCCAGTAAACATGTAAACACAGTAACAGAGGAGTTTCCTCTTACTTGAGCAGCTCCAGGATACTGATGACGATGTCATTGACGTAACAAAACCCAGACGCCTGCAGACACAGAAAACTCATTTCAATCCTTTAAACACTCACAGCTGAACTTAGTGAGTGTAGCAGAAAGGAATGACACCAATATACAAGACTCGGTTCTGACCTCAAATTTTTTGGCGTGATGCAAACCTCCGGCCCAGTTGATGGCAATGTCACAGATCTGGAAAACAAAGCAGAATCACGTTCAATAACAAAATAAATAAATCACAAAACCACTGCTGAGGCGTCTACCAGTAGAGCTGCAGCCATGTTGATGCTGTTTCACTTCAACAATGAAGTGTTAACACTGTCTGAGGGTGGGCTGTCCATCTTTGATCACCAGCTGCTCAGCAGCAGCCTCAGTGTGGGACGGGAAGTTAACAAACAACTGAAATAATAACACCATTAAATCAGTTCCTGTCATTCTTGTGACAGTGGAAATGCTTAAATGGGACAGACCACTGGCTCTTACTGCGGCAACACTGACTTCAATCGTATATGTGTGTGTGTGTGTGTGTGTGTGTTACCTTGTGGTTGAGCTGTGTAGCTCCCTGTAAAGAGGCTCCTGTGTATCTTGAGCAAAACTCAAAAAGACCAGGAAACACAGGACTAAAAGAAAAACACACAGGGACAGAATATTTGTTATGGTTTAGTCTCTCCTCCAACAACACTGATAGTCCATCTGGTGGAGACGTCAGGAATATAAAGCTGTGAGCTGATCATCACTAACGTTAACAGACCAGTAAGAAGAGCAGCAGTATAGTTAGACAGTCAGATGTCCGGGATACAAAGGAAACATCCTGACAGTGACTATAAGATCAACGTTTTTGTAATTATCTGTCTGTTTGCTGTTCTTCTAAGGCAAGATAAAATGTCCATGCAGATGAATGGTGCTTTCACAGTCTGTGTATAAATATCCAGAATATCCATCCAAAAGATTAGATGCTTAACGCAGCTCGTACCTGTTCCTGGAAAAAAAGTAGTTCCCGTATTTTTGTATGCTATGACAATCAATTGCTAAACTTGTAAAAAAGTATACTCACCAGTCGTCTCCTACGTTGAATGTGTTGAGGCTCTTTGTGAAGCCCTGCATGTTATTGGGGCTGACCTTCTGTAGGAAGTCTATGTAGTCTTCCGAGTGGAACCGACACATGTCGTGCTGCGATGCTTTGTATGGCTTAAACACCTGATCAGAAAAATAAAAAAAGGGAAAATTCAAGCACATTAAGAGGTTTTTTATAATGTCCAATCCAACGAGTGAGCACAGGTGATATAAAGTGACACCATCATCTCTCTCTGTACTGCTCACCATCATCTTCTTGTAGAGCCCATAGTGCAGCACCAGACTGTGAGTCAGAGACAAACGGTGAGGCTTCATAGGATGGCCGGCACCTGGCAGACAGACAGGCAGACAGACAGACAGTTCCCACATTATATAACACATACATATATCATCTGAATGACACAGACACACACAGAAATGAACAAATGCTAAATCAACAACAGTCTGACAGGAAGGATTGTCCATCGTTCACTTAAAACGGTCTAAATTAAACTCCAGCCACTGAGAATTAGTCCAGATTTAAGAGCTGATGTTACTGCAGGAGCTCCTTATACATCAACACTTTAAAACAACACACATAACGCCAAAAGCTACCGGGAGAGAGTGAAATACTGAATGTTAAATAGAGGTAAACACCTCCCTGAAGCTGTTAGCATGTAGCTGTCCATTAGCAGCCGTTCCCCTTTGTAGGCCTGTGCACTGCGGGAATCAAACCTCACCGTAGTGGAAGTTGCCCACGTCCGGGTCGTAAAAATAAGATGTCCTGTTGGTCATTCTGAGAGAGAGATCTTGCCGACTTTTTCCCGTTGAACTGTGGATTTTCCCGCCGCTACAAAACCCACATTTCCTTTCAGTGAGCTAGCAGTTAGCCGCCATGGTAAACAGCGACTCCTGGGCGTCATCACACAGGGACAGGAGTGAGGGAGAGGGGAGGGGGGAGGAGGAGGAGGAGGAGGAGAAATAAAACTCTTTTTATTTAATTATTAAATAATAATTGTAATAGTTGTTATTACTGTTTATTGTCATTTATTTTTATGTTTTAAGAGTTTTTTTTTTTTTAAGTTAAAAGTTAAAAAGATTTGATTTTTTTATTGTCTTTAGCCTCCATTCAATAAATAAATAAATAATAAATAAATAAATAAAACTTCTCAAAGGCAGCTGCTCTGACATTAATCTGGGGAGTAATAGTGGAAAAAAAAACATCCGGCCTTTTCTTAATTTATTTATCTGTTTCTGATTTAATTGTTGTTTTATGTGTATTTTTATTATTATTTTTATCCTCGTCTTTCAACTGTTTTATTTGTTACACCTACTTGTTGTGAATTGAATAAAGGTACATCTTATCTAATCTTGTTGATGGTGATTTTGTACTTGAATATTCTCTTACTTGATTTTATTTGTCGTTACTTTGTGAAGCACTTTGTTTTGAAAGGTGCGCTATGAATAAAGTTATTATTATTAACAGATCAACCAAAAATAATTGCGGAGTCAGCTTGTTTTTTTCCAAAACACCTAAAACCAAATCAGCTGACACACCCTTACACAAAATACACAAAGATGGGTTTAATTCTAAAATGCTTTTTCAGACTGAATGTTTGGTTGTGAGTGACAGCATTAAAAACACAGTAGAAGTGAAGAATGTGATTTGTGCTGGCATTGTCCAGTCATGGATTTAAATGTGAATCACATTTACCTTTGAGCTGTTGTCAAAGGATTATTATGTTAATCAGTCATATCTGACAGCATCTAGTGTGAGGCAGATTAACATGTCTCTGCCGGTTAAGTTATAATCAACCTGAACATGAATTCAAGACAGAATGAAAGAGTCACCTGTGTGGAACTGTGTTTATTTTGAACACCTGCTCAATAAAAAAAAAAAAAACATGTGAACAAGAGGTTGATGGAGATTCTCCACAGGATAAAATGAGAGAGAAACCATAGTTTGCACACAGGCAGAGAGAGGCTCAGGAGCTGTAACACAAAGCAGATACTACATTTCCCTGCATCAATGGGATTTAACACACAGGCAGTAAAAGCCTGTATGCACACATGCACAAATAATCAGAAGGTTGTTTCTCTTAACAAGGTGGTTTAATGTTTATGAAGGATGCCCGAACTGAAATGTCATTTGTCTGTTTTCTCCACCTTCTTTCTGTCTTTCCAGAGTGTCTGAGATGGCAAGAGCAGATGTGCTTGAGAGGTCTACCAGCACAACCTTACATACAGGGTCATGTCCGCCTGCAGCGTCTGTGTGTGTGTGTGTGTGTGTGTGTGTGTGTGTGTGTGTGTGTGTGTGTGTGTGTGCATGCATAAAAGTGTGTGTCTATAAAACTCTGTGTGTGACAGCCAAACCCTTGAGAGAATGTAATGTGATTTATTGGTATACCCTCCTAAACACTGTCTGCACACACACACACACACACACACACACACACACACACACACACAAACTCACTAACATGCATTCCATGAACCAATAAAAGGAGGAGGCGTAGGAAGAGTCAATGACTTAGTTATTTCTTATATATTAATGATTTATTTTCTAAACAATCAATGTGTCTTTAGCCTAAATAATAGTGCCTATCATGACTTCCCATAAGGTGATGTCTTAAAATCTCATGTCCAAAAGGGAAAAGATACTGAATTTACACTGATATAAAACTCATAAAAGCTGCAGGTTCCTACGTTTGAGAGGGTGCGGCAGTAAATGTTTGGCATTATTGCTTTATAAATAACTTTAATAATCAAATCGAGTTTTATTGTCATGTAAACCAAGTATTTATCAGGTATTTCTAGACGTTTGTCTGGTTAGTTATCTATAAACAGAATCTCAACTTTTACATTTCAGAAATGTGACTGTATTGATATTGTGATATGAAATTGGATATGCCATCAAAGAGGATTGTACCCATTTCACCCTGTCTTATTGTGTGATATAGATATATTTTGTGAAGATCTCACTTATTGTATGTGTGGACGATCCAAACATACCACATTATGCCATTGACACAGTGGTTTTCAAACTGGGGTCTGTAGTAGGTGTCCCCAGCAAGGAGAAATAGAATGGAACAACAAGAAACTCAGTTCAGATTCCTTAAGAGAAAATCTTCTCAAACTGAGGGTCCGATGTCTAATTTGCATCTATTGCAACAGAACACATAAGAAAAGGTTATCTGAATTGAATATTGTAGATTACATCAACACAGGTAGACTGAGGCAAAGATATTTTATTAAATCTGTCCATGGAAATGAAATTTTACTTCCCAATGAAATCTCTGTGGATATGGGGTGTGTGTGTGTGTGTGTGTGTGTGTGTGTGTGTGTGAGAGAGAGAGAGAGAGAGAGAGAGAGAGAGAGAGAGAGAGAGAATTAAACCGTTGTTCATCCAGGACTTTTGAGTGTGATGGAGAGGCTGGCATGAATAATCATTCATAGAGCAACACTGCCGCGCCTTCACTTTGCAGAATGTGTGTTGGCTTGTTGGCTGTTTTGTGTTGGAATGTTTGGTTGTAGATATTCTCTCTCTCTCCTGTTAGTTTGCTTCCTCTTTCCCCTCTCTCTCTCTCTCTCTCTCTCTCTCTCTCTCTCTCTCTTTCTCTCTCTCTCTCTTTCTCTCTCTCAAAGTTAAATGACAGAGCTTACCTGGATTGACTTTAATCATGTATTATGTATTTCTGACAGGTTACTTTAGGTTCAACAGGTGAGCTTTAGGTGTGTGTGTGTGTGTGTGTGTGTGTGTGTGTGTGTGTGTGTGTGTGTGTGTGTGTGTGTGTGGGAGACCGGATTTGAACCTGGAATCCCCCTTATTTAAGCCTAAATTATTCCTTTTCTTTTTTCTTTTGAGGGAAATGAGGGTCATCCTTTCAAGCTCACATGGGTCCACCTGCACTTTTGGTATATATTAATTTCACCCTGCATATGCCAAAACACATACTGAACGCTGCTTGTTCTGCTCTGTTTCTCAATTTCCCCGCATCTTTGAGTCTTTATCACAAGATATGGTGGAAAGCTAGAATAGTAACTACTATTTCAAACACCAAGAAGAAACTTTAAATACTTGTTTACCAATTTATTAACAAAATATGATGCTGTTTGTTTTGTTTTGTTTACTTGGATTGTATGTCCTTGTGAACACAAAAGTTGTGTTTCTTCCTGCATGGAAGACCAACTTTTTGCTACATCATAGTAAATCATATACAGTTTGAAAGAAACTAACAATGAAACTGAAAATGAAGTGTGCATTTTTTAAGTAGCAGCCATGTTGGTTTACTAAAGCAAATAAAGTGCACCCGATGGTACAATAAAGGAATGCTAATATACTAGACAAGGTTTTAGTCTTTGTCACATCAGTTTGTTGGCTGACAAAAATCAACCGTATCAATAATCTCTGTATTAAATCTCATATGGTCTGATGTGTGTGAGCGTTATAAATAATCATGCAGTATTCTAACCTTTTATTGCTCCTGTTTCAGAAACTTAGTCTTGTACATTTTAAAGTTTAATAACAGTGTGCCATACTCGATGAAGAGCACAGTGGCATGTCGAGGTCTACATTTGCATAGCTATGAAGTCAGTCTGTGCATGTGTGTGTGTGTGCACGCACATGTGCGTGTGTGTGGGCCTCATCCTTAGTTGGCTTGTTTTGGCCCCAGGGTTCAACTCTGTTCTGTCAAGCATCTGTCTCTGCCTGTTTGTTGAAACACACACTCACTCCCTTTCACACACACACACACACACACACACACACACACACACACACACATGGACAAGTGCCCTCGCTAACTCATTCCTGTATGTCATTGCTATGGAGATTTATACAATATACAGAGGTGTAAGGTTTTATCAGTGACACCCACACAAACATTTTTAAAGTGGTGACAGCCAACGCTGATGTCTGGCACCTGTAAGGTAGGTACACACACACACACACACACACACACACACACACACACACACACACACACACACACACAACTGGATTATGTAGCGATGCAGGTATACAGGTACTCAACTCCCAGCAGTCCTAGCAGTGCTTATGCAGTGCTCCATTATGTTCCACTGACTTCATTTGGCTCCACTAAGAGCAGTCTCCTCCCTGGACTCCTCATCATTCATGACCTCACCTGCTGCGTGACAGATGTGGAGACCCGTACCACATGTGATCACAGATGACATAAAGTATAGATCGTTGTCCACTGCCTGGAAGGATAAACATCAAATCCTTAAGGATGCAGTGCAGCAGAGGCTTAAGGGAGGGTTGCTGATGGGTGTGTGCACGCAGGCGTAGCCACCACCCCAAGGGTAAAGTAACCAGGACGGTGGACTCTGAATGAAAAGCTTGTTTATGCATCAGGTGTGTTTGTTGCCTTAATCCCAATATGACAGCCATTGATTGCACCAGCGCAGTTAGTCAATGCCTCACGGGCAACCGAGTGTGCAAAGCTTTGCCCAGTCTTGGATGTAGTAAAAGCACACACAATGAAAGCAACTTGCACAAAATAAAACACAAAAAAACCCATTCTGCTCCTTCAGGGCTTATAAAGATACAACGAGGAATATGATTCATGACTATCAGATGAGCTGTAGATCATCTTTTGGTGTCTATTCTCCTCACAAAATTCATGATGAGTCCACTCCAAATGCTAACCAGTTCCACAAGGCCATCCTGTCAATACGCCAAGCTCCTCTTAGAATGTGTTATTGCTATTCCCCTGTCCTCTTAATTCTCACTCTATTTCATGCTTTTTTGCAATGGCAATCTGCTCTCAATACATGCAAACATCAACATCATATAACAATGTGCACACTTTACTATATTTAATATCAAAAGATAGATATGTACAGTGTATGTAAGTGTACAAAATTAATTTTGTATTTGATGTACTTTGTAGATAAAGTTTTCTTTGAGCTGAA